TGACCAATTAATGTATGGTAATCATTGATATTGGATGATACATGTGTTTGGTTTCACTAACACTGCAATAGAATTACCATTATACCTACTAATTGTAAGATTTTAACTTACATAACTATTTCGCATATAAGAAATATGTCTAAATCCAGGTTGCGAAAATGAATATTTATATAATATTTGTTTATCATACATACATACTCGGTCTGAAAATTAAATGAGCGATAGACAATCCGAATTAACTGTCCACAGATTAAAAAGCCGTCACGTTAAATCGCTTTTCGGTTATAGTCTGTGGGTTTACGAAGCCAAAATAGGTCCTCAGCGCGTCTTGGGTTTCACCGATCAACTGAACGATGCTTGTCATGACAAATTTAAATATTCCTCCTCTTTGAAATAAATAAAGCCCTTTAACTTTAACTGTTTAAACCACGATATATGTAAGTTAAAATGAAACACTTTAACGGTTTAAAACGCGATATATATTAGTTAAACTTGTTTGGAAATTTTAACAACGACCGGACGCTTCGAATGCTTTGCAGGAACCGCGGGGTACACATTTGAATAAAGTGTTTTATTACGCGTAAACTACAGATAGTATTTAGTCCTAGTAAAAAAAGTTTCGCGGGAGACCTGTCCCTAGCAGTGCGTCTTTCATTGGTTAAAGCGAAAGAAGATAGACATTGCATACGTGAATTGTCCACAGATTAAGACCGCAATACGATCGCTGAGCAAATCTTATAAAGGGAATGAAGTTGTCAAGAATGGAGTAATTGATGAGATGTAATTGATTCCAGCACATCGTGGTCTTCGTAATGACATTAGGCTGTGGTCACATTTAATGTTTTCCGATTCACTAAATCCTGATTGACGTGGTATATTGAAGACTGTGGATTTAACTGAAAGCTGATCTTAGTGTAGTTTACAATAGTTAAATTTTCAAAATAAAGGAAACTATGTCACTTTATATTTGACTGCTACTACTATGTAATTGTGTAAAGTAGGCACTTCGTCCGCGTAAAATGGTTAAATATTTTTGTCCACTTACGTGAATTAATTTTAAAGATTTTTACTAATATTAGCATGACATTGGGGTTTTAACTACTCAATTGAATTTGAAGTAGTTCATTAGATTAATATATAATCCAGTGTCTCATAGTGTTTTAGTATAAATCAATATGAACAGTGGCGTATGTATCGTGCAGCCAGGTGGTGCAGTGCACCAGGGCCCCGGAAGTTAGGGGCCCTCTAACCATATCTTAGAGAAGATATAAGCGTAGAAGAAAATGATTTTTAACGTTTTTGTTGCTATTTTATAATTTTGGGGGTTCATTTAATTCAAGCTATGCTAAAAGAGGGAATGAGAACTCGATTCTTTCTTAAGCCTTTGGATTAGGTAGAACGGGGCCCTTGTCGACTTAGCTACGCTACTGAATGTGAATTTTGGGAGAACATGATCATATAAATTGTGTATTAGTTTACCAAAATGCCAAGTTAGAAAAAATACTTCTTATAAGTAATGTCTTTTTCTACGATTTAATAGCGCTATTATAGATTTCAATATATACCACAATCTGCAAATATATACAACGGACGTCGGCTCACCTTGACTCTTTCCTGAAGTTTAGTTTTTACTTGTAAGCTGTAAGGTGAATACTGTAATCAAAGTCGTGAAGGTTTTAAGATAGATGATGTAGATACACAGTTAAAATTAAGAAATCATTCTTGGATAAAAGTTGAGGCCGGCGTTGAGGAGTTTGACCTCCTTTAGGTACGTAAGAGGCTGAACAAACAGTCGATGATGATGATGATGATCTTTTTTGTATGATGGTGTAGGACAGACAAGCATGGGGTTTAAATAAAACACTTTAACGGTTTAAAACGCGATATATTAGTTGAACTTATTTGAAAATGATTTTTAACTTCGATCCGACGTTACGGATGCTTTGCAGCGGCCGTGGTCACGGGGAGACGGCTGCTACAAAGCATCCGAAACGTAACATAATGGTATATTACACGAACGAGCCATCAAAAGTGACACTTACTATCCTATAAGGATGGGGAAATCTGTTCTCAGTGGGATCATAGCCACATTAAAAATAATAATGTATACTGAAAGCGTATAATTCTAGCTGAATCGGAAATCTTTGTTCCGCCTCAGAGACAAAAAAACACATTTAGATTATTTATATAGTTCATTTGCTTAATTTAATATTACGTTTAGCTCTAAAAACATCATTCGTTTTGAAGTGTATTATATTCAATATATAATGCCTTCGTGTGCAATAACACGATGGCATTATAAAAATAAAAAATCTATTTAGACTAAAAAAATTGACGGCGGATTTTAAACCGGCATCCACAGTGTGTGCTGTTGCTGTAACCAACTACGTTCAGCTATCATTTGTTTTTTTTTTTATAAAATCTTAGTTATGTTTCTAATACCGCTGTCTATAGTTACTTGTATGTAATATGTATGTAATGGTCTTTGTGTTTTTTTTTTATCTTCAAACGGTAAAACGCAATGTCGTGTCCTAGTTCTAAGCTCTCCACTAATTTTCATCCAAATAGGTTCAGACGTTCAAGCCGCTCTTATCATAGTTTAGGTCTTATTCTGTCAACCGTACAAATATAATCTTACATCAAAGTAGCTTGTAAATCGCCTTGACAAGATTGAATTGCAACAATGTTTTAACGACATACCATTGACTATCAATTAGAATGAATTACATTTGATGATGTTAACGAACGAGCTGTGAATCGAATGTGATGTGAATGTGAATCGATGTGAGAAGCGAATATACCTCTTTTCGGACCCATTGGATAGCTCTATGATTTTTTTAAAGCCATTTTAAAAACGAAATAGCTATTTTTTCCTAGTAGAAACATTACATAGATCTTCAGAATGTTATAAAGTGACTGTATTTCTGTATCTGTGTGACCGAAACAAATTTTAACTTTATCCAGAAACATTTGGATTTAAAAACGGGTATGAAAAAAAATCGTGTAATGATTAAATAATAAATGTTTTGGCACTCTTAGCGCCATCTAGTGTAAAGATGGGAAAACTTTGTGCTAAATCGCAACGATCGACGCGGGAAGGTTTCAGTTTAAATCTTGGCGATTAATTGTACGAAAGTTTTCTCCCTAATGTGCTAATAGTACATGTAATAATATACTTTTTTTTTATTTGGAAACGCCTAACACACTTCCATAAGCAATATTCAAAAAGTCTCTAATAATTAAAATGACTTAATATAAGTACTAGAAACATTTACAACAGTTATCAATATTTATCACTTTATAACCTGAATTTTCGAGTATTAAACAATAAAGATTGTTATCAAATGAGTTTATGTATATTTCTGATAAATTATATATTGTATATTTGATAATATGCTTAAAAAGTTGCATAGTCTGTCGCAATTACATGAATTTATATTTAAAGATTAACTCTTTAATTTTTTATCTGTTGGAGTACAAAATAAGTTTCCAGTAAGCACAGATACGGAGTGAAGATAATTATAAAAACAAAAATATTTCCACAGATAAGATTTTAATTAGTTGCATTCCAATAAAAAAGGCGGTTAATTCTGTATCTCTATATTGATATAAATTTTGGAAGATATATGTTTCAGTTCATGACATATTACTAACTGATACTGTTTAAAAAGATCCCAGCTTAAATCTATATTTAAGCTGAAGAAATTTTTAATTTAAAAGAAGAGTTCGTTTGTTTGTTTGAACGCGCTAACCTCAGGAACTACAGGTTCGAATTGAAAAATTATTTTTGTGTTGGTTAGAACATTTATCGAGGAAGGGTATATAGGCTATAAAACATTGGGCTGTGATGAATACGAGCGAATAAACAGTGGGAAATGTAGAAAAAACGGGGGAAATTAGTCATCTCAGTGGGTTTCTGACGCTTACGCTGCGATATAGGTTCAAGACATCCAAAACATATGTATGAAAGAATGTATCCTCTTTAAGTGATCTAAAAAAAATTTTCGCGACACTGTATATATTTTTTTACTTTTAATATTAACTTGCAAGAACGAAGGGGCTAATTAATATCGTTTTATTCGTGGATTCATATCGCATTCGTGAAAAACCAGAAAACTGATGCAATTTTCAATCGATAATTACATCACTGTTAGATGGAATATAGTTCATGAAAGTGATAAGTTCTGGTTTGTTTTTTTTTATTACATTTTTTTCAGATGGAGAAATGAATTTGGTCATATCCTCAGTTGGGATTGTTTATATTAAAATGTATACTTCCCAAAGTTTGTGAATAGGTTCTACTATACCATGCCCAGAAAAGCACGTTAAATTGTCACCAAAGCAGATTGCGCTTTGAAGCAACATGTTGGATCCAACTACTTTACAGACTGTTAAAACCTCTTCTAACCAATAGGAGACCTAAGTCCGGCTGTGGGACATTCCTGGGACACTAAAATAGTCTTAAGGAAAAGTAGTGAAGTAAAATTAATGTTCATAGACAACCGCCAAACATAATGAACAGTAAATAGTATTATCAGTAGAAACGTTTCGAAATTATTTTTTTTTACATTTAAAATCTATTTAGATTTAAATAAAACACTTAAACGGTTTAAAACGCGATACGAGTTAAACTTATTTGAAAATTGACCACCCCAGCAACATTCAACATTTGCAGCAGCCGTGGTCTCCCCGTGACGAAGTTAAAAATAATGTTTCAAATAAGTTTAACTAATACATCGCGTTTTAAACCGTTAAAGTGTTTTATTTAAATGCGTACTACTCGCGTAAACTATAGATAGCATCTATTTGCTCATGCTGATTGCTCATGACACGGTAGGTCAATTGGTTAGAGCAAGCACGAAACGCTGTGGACGCCGGTTCATGTCCCGTCCGTTTCATCCATTTGTTTCAATCTAATAGACTTTTATTTATTTAAAGCCATCATGTGCCACATGCGAAATATGTTAAAGGCTTAAAATTTAAACTCAATCAATACATACGCTTTTATCTGCCGGATGGAGGCTCCATCAACCCCATTCACCACCACCGTGGGTACATCCTGGGAGCTCCCCGCGACGTTCACCGATACTTCCGTCATATTCACACGATTGAAAATACCTCAGAAAATATCGCGTTTCAATCCGGCGAAACTGGTTCAAATCAGCACCAATTGCACGGAACACTCGCGCCTACGTGTCCACGGATACTCGAGCAAATGGCGAACGCACGTAAACATTATCAGAAATGAAGCAATTCATTTTATCACTTAAATACCGTTTAATTTACGTATCTTGAGATTACACTCGAATCTTGATAATTGATTGTAAATAGTTTCATTGTATTGAGTTTTCAAGAATATTCACAAAATATTTTTTTAAGCTCGTTGCTGTAACGGCAATGTACCGTGGGTTCGATTCCCACCGGGTCCGAAATGCTTCTAATCAATTTATACATTTTCTGACTTAGATTTCGTCTGACGTCTGAAAATCAGGATCTCAAATTGGTGGTAGGAATATCGAAATACCATCCGGGGAACTACCTTCCACAGATGATAAAGCCGAAGTGAAGTTTATTCGGTTTCAGTCTATGAATTTCCGAATATCCGAAACCAAAATAAGTCGACAGCACATCTCGTTTGGATGTTATAGGCTTGAATATTTCACCTACCATCAAGAGAACCCCACGTTTGTCTGTCTTTGTCTATGATTAAATAAAAGCAAGAAAGTCGATTACATCATAATGTATTTATTCTACACAGCTTAAATTTAGACAGCTAAATGCAGCATTTTTAGCGAAAACGCGAATTATTAGTTAACAATTAGCTACGATTTCATAATTTGGATACTCAGCAGCGGTTATTAGTACGAAACGAAACATATATTTCCACCTGTTTGAAATGGTTTCATTTAACTAGTACTACTGGCGTAAACAAAATCTAAAAAAAATAGTTGCCATTTTAAATATATCACAAAATTATGGTTCAAAAACAACAATAAGTCCAAAACAAAGATCCAAAACGTCGGGTCGTAGTTAAAAATAAGTTTACTTGCGTTTTAAACTCTTAAAATGTTTTATTTTATTGTGCACTCACGTAAACTACAGACAGTACTTTAAGGTAAGGTCAATCTAAAACTGACGATAAATAAGATGCGCAAACACAAAAAAAAACAATATAAAAATACAATGCGCAATGACTTATTGAGCGTTTTGCGTCGACTCCTCAATCTTGACGAGCTGATCTGCCCTCTCATGGAGATAGCTGGTCTCCGTGGTACTCTGACTGAAGGTAGATTGGTAGGAGCTGGACTGGCTCGGGGTTCGAGTGCCGTATCTGTTATCTGATGTTTGGATATATTGGCTGTCTAGTTTTGTTACGCCGCTGAAATATAGATTACAATAGGGTCAGTTTATAGAAACAAGAGAAAAATTAAAACATACTTAAATCTAATTTAAAAATCAAAATAAATTGAAATATTTTTTTCTGCAGAGCAACAAAGAGAACGCTGACGATGCCGGTTCAAGTCCTGCCCGAGTCGAAAATTTTTTCAATTTATTTTCGATTCTTAAATTATATAGTGCCTTCATGTGCAATAACATGTGAAAAATATTAATGTTTTCATACTTAAATCTGTACACAAGATGTCTGCCGTGCTATTTTGACATTTACATATTTGGAAATCCACAGACTGAACCCGATACACAGATACTTCAAGACATTTGCATAAAAACTTCTCTATTCCTATCTAGATTTTCCATTCGAAATCTAACATGTTCCAAAAAAATTACAAATTAAATTTCCTGGCAAAGGTTTGAAAGAATCATCATAAACATGTAGTTTCGTTCGGTTAGGACACAGAAGATGAAACACTTAAAATTACCTTTCGTCTCTATAGGGTCGTCTCGTCTGCCCCACGTTTCGCCACCCACTGGACTGGCCGTACCCCACGTCTTGGTAACCATAGGCGGAGCCGTAACCAGAACCAGAACCATATCCAGACCCATAATTATTGTACCCACTATTACCACGGTAAGGGTCCTGATAACCGCTGTAACCACTGGAATATCCGTTGGAGTAGCTTGGATTGTTCTGGTATCCCGGTTGAGGTCTGGAAGAGCCAAAAGTATTACCTGCAGGCCCCCGTGACTATAGCTGATAATCACCCTAAATTACGTAGTTGAAAATAAGTTATTCCACATATTGTGTATTTTAAACCGTTAAATCTGTTTCAATATGACACAAATAGAAAATTATACGTATATAACGAAAATAATTAGCTTGTTAGTCTGTAGCTTTACTAAATGTATATTTTACGTTTTAAAATACCTTAGTTAAATGCGGTGCCTTTCAAAGCAATACAATAAGTTTGCATCAATATACACAGGTTAACTTTATTTTTGGAAAAAGTCAGGAAAATGTCTCGTTAATACCCGGAATTTATATAATAATATTTCAGAATTATAGTAATAATATAAAGAGATTTGTTAACTGGTAAATTATCATAACAATTAAATGGCACGGTAGATGGCGCTAGTTGTACCTAACTTTTGTTTTATTGTGAGTGTACCTGGCATATTCCCTTTGGTTCCAGGTGGAGTCAGGTCGTCCAGACGCGAAGTAGTATCCTCGGCCACCTGCATCCCAACCAGATTGACCACGGTAGGTTTCATCCCATGGCCTGAAACTGAAAAGATGTAACATAGAGTTACAAATTAAAAAATATACACAGTCGAGATTCCAATCCATAAAGGACAGTGTATAGACACGAAGTCAAGTAAAAATTTCTTTTATTTTTACTTTTTTGTTATTTATACTAATATTATAAAACTGAAAAGTTTGTTTCTTTGTTTGCAGGCGCTGATCTAAAGAACTCCTGGATCCAATAAAAAAAAATGTGTTGATTAAAGCATTTATCGAGGAATGATTGAGGCTATAAAACGTCGCGCTGCGACCGAAAGGCGATAAGAAACAGTGGGAAATGTGGAACAAACGGGGAAAATTATTCATGTTTGTTTGAAAATACTCAAAAAAAATATTTAGAAAGAATGATTCCTCTTTAAAGAATCTAAAAAAAAGGTCTGCGACACTATAATATGTCTATTTTAAATTTTTAAGATTAACATACAAGAACGACAGGATACACCGATGTCTTGGGTAACAGCTAAACTTTAAAAGATTGATATGAATAATAAATAAATAATGTCCAAGTTTTGTACCGAGTTAAAAGAATAATGTTATTTCCAACCCGTCTCGTAAGAATTCAAATGTTTTTATTATCTTGACAGAAACAAAGCTCGTTAAAGATTAGGCATGACTCAATTCACTATTACGATTCGAGATTCTTGTCGCCCACCAATGCCACCAGCTAATTACCAAGTTAATTAACCGGAAAGTTCTACGTATTTTTAACGTTTTGCTGTATTTTGTTTTAAAAACAAAATATTAAACAGTTGAATTATCACAAAATAGCGTAGCTAGGTGGACAAGGGTCTACCTAATCCTAAGGCTCAAATAAGAATCTGGTCACCCCCTCTTTTAGCATAGCTTGAACTAAATGAACCTCCTAAATGTTAAATAGACAGCAAGAACTACGCTCACATGTTCTCAAAGATAAGGTTAGAGGGCCCCAAGATCCGGGCCTGTCACTGTACCACCTGGCCCTACGATAGCTAAGTTACTGATCCCATACGTCGAGGTTATATTAATTAGGACAGTATGTTTCACTAACTTCTTCTGAAACTCTGGAAATGGGCGGTAGAGTTATATAACCTCCGTCCGAGTCCCGAAGCAGCGTCCACAGATGAAGTTTAATCGCGTTACGGTTTCAGTCGGTAAATTTCCGAAAAACCAAAGCCAAAAAAGGCGCCCCTTTTGGCTAGGATTTTTTTTGGTTTTTTTCGCTTTCCCGGGGGGGGGGGGGGGGGGGAAGGGGGGGGGCCGCGGGGGGGGGGGGGCCCCCCCCGGGGGGGGGGGGGGGGGGGGGGGGAAAAGCGGTCCGGGCTACCTATGGTATGGGATCTCGGGAGTCATTAAGAGTTGTCTTTTAAAATATCGGCATACTTACTGTGTACTCGCTGTATATTTATGAAAATGTATTGTATGCCCATAAGAATAAAAGCAAATTTAGCTAGAATAGTGATAATCATAATTTGAACTTCCGAAATAAGGATAAACTAGCTATCCCAAAATATAGGCTCTATAAAATAACTAATTCATTTGCGAGGAATTGTATTCGTATGTATGACATTGCCAATCGAGGTACAAATTTATCAATAAGTCACAAAATTTTCCTTGCTCCAAAGGTGTATGTTTGAACGAATTCTTTAATGAGAAGACTGCCTAGCAGAAATATGAACTGTAAATATTAAACGTCTTCTACTAAAAGCATAATTAACAGTTTGATAATTTAAACTATTTCCTAATAAGAGTATTTACATTTGATACAGATTCACGTGAAAGCGTGAATTTGAACGTACAATACACTATTGTTGGTAATTACTAATGGTGGTACATTTCATGTGGTATTGTGTGTTTTACGCTTGTAGTACATTTAACCCTTTTAACGGCTTAAAACGTAAAGTATATTAATTTATTGTTTATTTATTTTGTTGGAATAGCCTCCATCTTTAGAGTTTCTTCTCTTTCTTTCGACTCTTTTGAATTAAGAACTGGTTCGTTTTTAATTGTAATTAATGTAATTCAAATTAAAATTAATGAAATACTGTCTGTAGTTACGAGTAGTACACATTTAAATAAAACCACTTTCACGGTTTAAAACGCGATATGTATTAGTTTAACTTATTTCAAATTATTTTAACTACAGAGACATTTGTACCGCGTGACCATGGCTGCCAAGGCATCCGAAACGTGGGGCCGTAGTTAAAATTATTTTCAAATAAGTCTAATTAATATATATCGCATTTTAAACCGTTAAAGTGTTTTATTTAAATTTGTACCTACTACTTGCGTAAACTCAAAACTATTTTATCATTGTTGATAGTTATTCTATTTTCTGTTAAAAATATTTTATCTATACTAATATATAAAGCTGAAGAGTTTGTTTGTTTGAACGCGCTAATCTCAGGAACTACGGGTTCGAATTGAAAAATTTTTCTACCTCCTCTTCTTTGCAACTATCGAGGAAGGTTATAGGAATTGCATGTGACTATAGGAACGAAATATAGCGAGAAATGTCACAAAAGGAAATTCTTCATCTCTATAGGTTTCAGATGCGTCAGCTGCGAAAACGGTTCAAGATACCTAAAAATTGTGCATGAATGAATGATTCCCCTTTAAATGATCTAAAAAAAAACCGCGACGCTATATGTCTATCTTTTTAAGATTAACTTGCAAGAACGACCCGAACGACGGGACACTGACGGGATACGAATATCGTAAGTAAAAGCTATCTTCGCTAATACTATAAAGATGAAAAATTCGTATTTTTGTATGTAACCTCAACAAATACTGGACCGATTTTAGTAAGTCTTTCATTTATTTTTTACAATCTATAAATTTTTATTTAAATAAATTATTAGTTTTTAATAATATTATAAATGCGAAAGTAACTCTGTCTCTCTGTCTGTCTTTCTGTCCGGATTTAACTCCGAAAGTGCTAAACTGATTTAAATAAAATTAGGTACATAGATATGTTAGAGCCTAGAAAGGACATATACTTATTTAAATGCTAAATAAGGTCTTTAGGGGTTGAAAAAGGGGAAAAGTTGTATGGAAATTCGTGGTTTTCGAAGCTAGAACAATGAAATTTTCTTCTTTAGTTTTTGGGAATAGAAGAAGAAGTGGGAGTGGGAGTGGGAGTGGGGGGGAGGGGGAGTGGGAGTGGGAGTGGGAGTGGGAGTGGGAGTGAGCAAGTGGAATGTGAAGCGTAGGAATGAGAATAGGACTGATGTGAGTTAAGAGTGTTGCGGCAAAGTAGCACATACAACATAAATTGGCTGCCCTAATGCGCCCTTACATAAATTAATAAACACATAAATCATTAAAAATTCTACCCCAAGTTACTATTCCACGCGGACGAAATCGCGGGCAAGCCATTACAAATACATTAAATATGATGACATAATTTTAATGTGTGTATATGTGAAAGGTTAAAATACTTTGTACATACCTGTCATGAGGTCCCGAACCAACGCCTGGGCCATAACCCCCGTAACCATCGTCGTATCCTCGGTCATACCGGTCATCATAGTAAGGGCGTCTGTACGAGTAGTATCCGTCATATCTGTCATATCTGTCATAACGGTCGTCATATGCATAGGGACGTCTGTCATATAACGGTCGGCGCGGATACGGATCGCTGTATCTGTAACGAAAAGAATTTAAAAAATTGACTTGCACTCAGGTAGTAGCGGCAATAAAAACTTTACTTTTAAATAAAACGGTTTAAAACGCGAATTATATTAATTAAATTTATTTGAAAATTATTTTAACTACGGCCCGACGTTTCTACAGACAGCATTTAAACTTTACTTTGTTACATACACAATTACATATTTATGGATAGTCAGGTTTTTTAGATTATCTGTATAAAAAGATTATAATCTACCTATTATAGTTATCGCAGTAAATTTTATATAGCCAAAAGCATTCCTGAATACATGTTATATCCAACAAAAAATATTTTTTTTAATTTGAACCAGTAGTTCCTTAGATTAGCGCGTTCAAACAAACAAAATAATCAGCTTTTTAATATTAGTGTAGGTAGATGTACAAAGTTGTAATAGATCGACAGTGCTTCTTGTATGTATGCTACATGGCTGGGACACCTACTAAGTAAGTCTAAGTATATATTTTTAACTAATAAAACATTACTTTACCTGTCTCTGTCCCTATCCCTCAGGAATCTATCATAATAATCCGGTCCGTACCTATCTCTGTCGTCATAACGATTCCTGGGTCTATTCCTCGGTCTGTCCCGACGTCTATCTTTGTCATCGTGACTCTTGTCATCGCTCTGATCATCCGTTTCGTTCTTGTTGCTTCTTCTGTCATTGTCGTAGCGTTTGTCGTCGTCATCGTCGTCTCGATTTCTGTCATATCTGCTGCCGTATGATGGTTTGTTAGATCGTCTGTCATCTCGATCATCCCTGTCGTCATCGTCATCACAACGGCCGCAGCGTCTGTCATCTAGCCTGTCGTATGGACGGCTGTATCTTTCATAGTAACTCCTTGCTATTCTAGCAGATGTGTCGGGGAGGAGGATAGATGACAATTTGGATTCTTTTTCAATTTCAGAGTCAACTGAAGTTGTTAGTGCGATTATGACAAGTACCTGAAAAAAAATTAGGGGTCAATTTAACTGGAATATTTAGTAACATTTTTATTATGTAAATACAACCCTATAACAGTTTATAAGGCGATATATATTAGTTTTACTTATTTGAATTTATTTTAACTATAGCCTAACGTTTCGGAGGTGTCGGACATCCACCCGTGATCATGGCTAGCTGGAAACTAGTATATATCGCGTTTTAAACCGTCAAAGTGTTTTATTTAAATGTGTATCTACTACTCGCGTAGACTAAAAACAGTATTTTTATTATTGTTGATAGTTAATCTTTTTTTTTTATTTCTGTGAAAAATATATCACTACAATTAAAATTAATAATTATTTTTTATAGACGGAAAAAAAATAATTTGTATTCGAGTCCATTCTAAGTCAGATTTATATAATCATATTATAATTTCCAAATACCAATGTTTAAGTTACATAGCCTATACTCAATGGCTCATATTAGATTTAAATAAATTTGTTTCAAGTTAAGATTCCACTTACGTTAAGTTTAAAACCATTTCTCACGAAATAAAACCCTTTTCAACTGTTTAAAATCATTGTTCGAATATTTGGCAGTGACCTACATTGATGTACTACATTATATTGCCATAGATTTGAATCTCCATTGATTGCAGTCCATTTAACGTGGGTAAAAAAACAATGGCATTTATTCCAAGGTTTTGTATATTTGGTTCGTGTTAGTTAATTTGTGCCCTGTGACGTCACACTATTGTCTATGATGCGTGGGCGCAATTGTTATAGGCTTTAATCATTTGCTATACATTGTTTTACTGAAATTCCGATAAACTTGTTACCGGATTGAAACGCGAAATATTTACTTTGCATACTACATAGGTACTGGGTTCTGTATTGTGAATGTTTTCTGCAGATTTATTATAGCTTTGGGTTTTAAAAAGTTCTAGAATTTAAAAAAACTCGCTTGGCAAGATGGAGTTCGAACCCATGAAACATTATTTTTAATGATAAAAGAGGACATGGCGTGAGGTTCACTTAATGGTAGGTGATATAAAATGCACGGCCGACCTATTTTGGCTTTAGATATTCGGAAGTCCATAGACTGAAACCGAAACGCGATTAAGCTTCATGGCTTTTTCATCTGTGGTTCGTTACGTCACTTACTATATTCCTACCACCAATTTAATATTCAGAATTCCAGACGAAGTTCAGCATGATTCGCAAAATTTGTGAATTGAAAAATTAGAAACATATTGGACAGGCGGGGATCAAACCCAAGACCTGCTGATTATTAGCCACACATTGTTACGATTAGACCGAACTCCTAAATTAATACAGGTACATTACTTTTTTTGACCCGACACCAAACTACCTACTCTAGAAAAAACAATACGTTCCTAAGCAACAATCTAATTTCAACAATAATATAACTTTGTTCTTTAGACATCAAATAATAATCATGATTCATTTCTTTATCTGATTAGAGCTATTAAGCGAGAAGAATGAGTTCTTACGTCAATGAGTATGATCTTTTACATCTCAATTTATCTTCCGCGTAATTATTGCAATTATTTTGTATTTCCTACTAAAAAACCGTAGAAACATTACTTGTTTTATACATTTGTTTATGTAATAGTATTCTGTTTTATGCTACCAAAAGCTTTTGCGATATAATAACGACTTTAAAATAAGTTTATTTTATCCTATTACTAATAATAATTAAAAGACACATTTACGTTTTATTTATTATAAGGTAAAAATATTTCTTCTTAAATTATAGTGAAGTAAAACGGGTTTATGTATTTTTTTTAACCAAACTTATTTTATTTTACGTACATTTACGTTTCGTTACCATTTCATTATTCTGCTCTACGTACCATGGCTCGTATATTAAATCAATGTTCCTTAAACTAGGTATGTATGTCAAAAATGTACATTAAGCAACATTACTTTGAGGATTAGGATTAGTTGAGTAAAAATAAATTATATTTTAAATTTCATTTAGCTCTCCAACAAGCTTTATAAAATACTTTTATTAAAAAATAATAGACTCACCTGCGCCGTTAATCGTATCATCTTTGCAGCCTACGCAACGCATCCCATACCAAACAATGCACTTACAAAACCAGTTTTCTATATAAAACCTCTGTGCGTAACCAGATTCGCATTTTACAGTCTATTTTATTTTTAATCTGTTTATTGTCATTTGTTTTTGAATTTAGAACCGATGCGCGCGCTCGTCTATGGCGGACTGCTATTTCCCGCCAACGTCCGGCGCTTATAATAATTATGGCAATTGCTTTTTTGTTTGTCCATCCGCCCTGAGGGCTGCGGACTGAACATTTCGAAGGCTACTCATGGTAATTACAGTGCGTAGATCTGCAGATAATGACGCTGTACGCAATAATGAGATGCGGAATGTAATCTTTTATCTTTTGATATACTGTGCCCTCATTTTTTAAATGAAATGCTTTTTATAATCTACAGTTCCAAATTGATGGCGAAAACAAAATCCCCTCCCTTCCAATGACATGGAGTCATACACTCAGCGCAACACTATCGTGCTTCCCAGGGATTCGTATCTAGGACCTCTGGCCTTCTAACAAGACGCTTTCATTTAGTATACGGGTTTAAGCAAAAATTTTACTTCTACATATACACGAGTATGTTATTGCTTTCTATACTAATAACAAACCTAATCCTATTAATAGGTAGGTTATTGTAATAAATTATTAAAATATTAGGATTTAAAACATTTCACAATACGGCGGGACTGACGCATGACGGGGATGACGCAGCCACAGCACACATACCAATTGAGCTATAGGGTCAAAATAAATTATTATTAATATGTAGTATGTATATTATAAAGATTTGAAACTCAGTGATTGACACATGTCGTAAAACGGACACAAAATGTGTTATCCTATTATAATTTATATTTTACAATCCAAAAATTAATTCAAAACAAATGCAACAAATAATATATGTATTATAGGAAGAGGAAGTGCTATTGTTTACGAGTGCATCTTTCCACTGTACGGCGACTTTTAAAGTCAATAATTTTCGATAGAAATCTAAAATGTTCAATGCACCATTTAATTATAGTTCAATGTGCCAATGACTTCAAAAAGACAATCTTTTAACTTACTGGAATTTAAATGATTGTCTTAAAAAATACTGATATTAAAAATACGTATTTGTCTTACGTAAATAAAAATATTTTGATATTGTCCTATAATTATTTTTTATATTCCGGTTCTTACTCTACTTGTCTCATACTTCCCTAAATAAATATACTTTAGGTAACAGAAGTCTGGTAAAAATCTGAGACAAAGGGCATCGCAGGTCTGAAGCAGCTAAAAACATCGTCACGTGAGTGACATTGGAAACAAACGCCACCCGTTAATAGTTAAACCAAAAAATATACGCAGCGAACCGTTGCTGACACATCATTGTAAACTAACGAACCGACCATGTGGCTGAGTAATTACCATATAGTTTAGAATATAGGCAAAACATGATTTATGGTCTAGAAAAGTCCTGAGTTCGAAACTAAAATACAAAGGCCTAATTATAATAATAAGTTGATACACTCTACGAATCGATTTCCATACACGAAGATAATAAATAAAATCTTATACATCGATCATTAAATATATATAGGTATTTTTTAACGGGTTTCAAACCCGTAATATGTATATCGCGCCTATCAAACAAGGATCTAGTAATTGTACTTATTGTTCTGAGGTCTAACTAAACTTACATAATATCAGCGAATCCTAAGTGAAGATGTTATAGGATGGTAGGTATTTCGCTTACCATCCTATAACATCTTTTCCCTTAATCCAGCAATTTAACATCTAAACATGATGCGCTGTCATCCTTTTGTGGTTATGGATATTCCGAAATCGACAGCCTGAAGCCGAAACGCGATTATAGTAGAAGGTTTTTCATCTGCGGATTGTGGTTCGTGTCTTGGTCAGAATTTCCATATACTTACCTCCCACCCATTTTATATCCAGATGTCCACACGAAGTTCAACATGTTATAGAAACAATGTAAATGGATTTGAAAAATCTTGACCCGGTGAGGATCGAATCTTTGATTGTTACCAATACAATGTTCAGTTTTACCCATCGAATTTGTTTTCTTAAATAACTCTAAGACAATAGGTCTATGATTTTATAATAACGTCATTAAAAAGAAAAGGGTTGCCATGCTAAATAAATAATATATCATTAGTCTAATGAGACACCAAACCGGATAACGGTAATTTCGCAAATTGCTAATATTTTGTATCTTATCTGTGTCACTTGCTGTCAGCGACCTCACGTGGTCATTCGCTTGAACTTCTTTTTTTTTTTAAATTTTAAAATTATTGAACTCAATCTGTGTGCTAATTGTATTTTAATAAATAATATAAGGAATTACTTATGAGGGATAACTTAATTCGCGGTCATTAACTATTCTAGCAATAATTGAAGCATTTTATTAATCAAATTTTGACGATAAAGTTTCACTAATTAATTTAAAAAAATGTGTTTTTGTGTTTTCGAATTGTCCAGTAATTTTATCTTTTACGATTTTACTTTATATTTTTGACGTTATTAGTAAACACGCTATCATTGCGTATGTAAATCGTAATTATAGTGTGTCATAAGGTACGTCACTAAATCGATATTTGTAATAGAATATCGATTTTTCATCAATCATGTTATAAAGATTCCTCTTTACATTGTCGATCGTAATTGCTTCTCTAGAAATATTAATGAAACTTTCAAAGTAATTTAATTATCCACTTTCTTTATACGGCGTATTAGGTTAAGGTCGTTCTGTTAAACTTTTTAAACTAGAATCGAACTCAGTAAAGCTATTCTCATATTATAAATGCATATGTTTGTTTGTTGTGTGAGTATGTATGTATGAATCAAACATTTATTTAGATAGATAAAGTTTACGACGCGGGTACATACAACATAACTATTTTTTAAATCGTACAATAATGGGAAACAATTTTAAAATAATTAACTACAGGGTTATTGAACTTTCACCCTATTTTAAGAGGGACACATTAGTTTCCTGTAGGTGCGTTTCCCTTTAATAGAAAATTTATCAAACTAATAAACGGTATTCTTAGCGACGAAAATTCTTTTTTACAATTTAAACAAACTAGTATATCTTCGACATACCAGTTAAACATGGCTTATTTTACTTCAACACTGTTTTGTAAGTTACGCGATACGAAACAAACAGAATTTGTTTGTAATGGTTTATTTCGTTTTCTAATGAACATAACGAGAATAGTTAACTTTCTAAGCTTTTCTAACTCATTATATACTTACTTAGTACTTTGTGCTTGTATTGAGTTATTTTCAACTTACTGCGTCACTACTATCGTAATAAAGCTCTTAACTTAATTTTACGAATGCTTTAGAAAATACATACGCCGTTCTATTAAAAATTCATGTCCAGAGCGCAGTGTGAATGACAACCAATGTTTATCTATTCTTGTACAAACGAAACAGATACAAATAAAGCTTCACTAAGTATACAAAAAATATAAGACAATTTACGTAACTGAAATATGTATATTATGATAACCTTAACACTATATTTAAAATATTTACAAGATCTGTATTTAAACTATGAACATGCCAAATATTTTATAAACTATAACTTTGTGATTCAAATCATAGTATCTTTTTAACTATTATTTGTAATAAAAAATGCTTTAAAGTTATGTGATAAATGAGACTTAAATATTATATGGTATTTTGTTTTTTTCGAGGAAATTGTAAACAAGTCTTTTATTTATATTCTTACAGTAATCTATGCATTATCTGTCAAAACGAGCGAATGTCGTTATTTAAATAAGTACTGGATCAATAATATAATCTGTAACGAAGCAGTTTTGACAGATTCCAAATTATTATAAGTACCGCTCGAAAAGCTGAAAGCCTAAAGGAAATTGGATTTTCCACTAGTATTTCCCGCGCGCTGTTAGCAAACAGACGCGCCGCCATTTTGAGAATTGAATTTCGCGCCAATTTATGCTTGTGTAATAATTTCTCAAATAAAACTTATTTCTCTCAATAAGAGATTTTTTACGGTGATCAATTAAAGCTTAAATATAATTTAAAAGTATCATATAGCTAATCATTTTAAGTGATGAATAAAATTACATTGTATTTAATAAGCCCGCATTGTATACAATCAAAAGAGGTTTTGCAATGTCATTGTAAAATATATCGATTAGAGGAATTATGAGAGGTTTTTTTGAATTTTCGAAAAATGTTTGCTGGGGATGTCGTTGAAGAATCTACAGTTGTTCCGTCCGGTAACTCAGAACATGATTTACCCCCCAAGACAAGCGACACCAATGAAAGCTCCTCCTTCAGCTCTTTCTAGGAGTATTTCAAAGTCAGCCGAAACTTTAGCTGGGACTACGAGATATGGTACGTCTGTACATAATATAGGTAGGTACAGTAATAATGACCAATTCATGTTTATTTAGAAAAAATCTTATATGATTTTCAGTTAGTTTTAATTTATTAAAACTCTTTTATATTTGCAATCATATTAAACAATTTTATTAAAAACTAAAACTGATTTATTTTATTCTCAAAAAGCTTAGCTAATTTAAAACGGTTCGCTGTGTCACTTTTTTATATTGCAACAATTTTTTTGGGACTAATATTCTCACCAAAAACCTCTCTTAAAATATATTTTTTTTTCAAAATACGTACTCCACATACTTTTAATTTTTAAACTTTGCCCAAGTAAAAATAGAGACTTCCTATACACAGAAATACAATTTTTACGATGAAAACAGTAATTACTTAGACATTACGTACAACAGGAAAAGACGTCAAGACTCGTAAAACCAGGAGTACGGAGCAACCTGGCGGTGGCCTTACGAAGGGCACCAGCTCCCTTGGGCTTCCAGCGTTGGGCAAGTGGAATGGCGAAGAAGACAGTCTTCACAGTAGATCTAGGAATGGAAGGTGATATGATACATTTGATAAATAACAAATGCTACTCTGTTTGTTACAATTAATGACTACAGCTTAAGTGTTTAAAAAGGATTGTATTATATATTGTTATAATTATGTTTTAATCCCCTGCTGGCTTAATAGTTAACACTTGTTTAATTTATTTTTGGGTCTTTGTACCTGATGTAACCGCCTCTGTAGCTAAATTGTTAAACATGTTTTCGTTAAAATTCCCCCGGGGTTCGAATACCCGAATCCCGGGGAAAAGAATAAATTGTTTCGGTCTGACAGGACATAAAAGTCACTGATGACTGCTTTCCTATAAATACTGACTTATCGCTACTAAAATTGAAAATCGATTAGTTTACATTGAAAAAAATACGACATGGCAGGATTTGAAGCGGCAGCTACCGCAACTCGTGTTGTTGCTCTAACCAATTGAGCTACTTTGTCGTTGTTGTATGTTGTTGTTGTCCTACTGTACTGATCACTACTTGCCTATAAATCATTTAAAGGACACAGAAATGTGGTTACCCTATGGATTTTGGACACCTGATACGTATAGACCAAATATTAAATATGCATATACAAGAAAATCATATGCTACTATGCTCGCGTATAACCACTGAGTCACGAGCACAATCCAAGTGTTAGTAAAGTTCGGGATGCCCTTTGGCCATCAATTCGCCCCAATCAAATTGTAGGCTTCGTTGGAATCGCGTGACTGATTTAATATTTATTGGACAATCTTCTACACTTGCGAGGTGGCGGTTCAAGGCTTCACTTTCGACGTTTACTATTTAAATTAGACGATTTTCAACCTAACCCAGTTTAGTGCATCCAAAGAGTTTAAACCTTCCTTAATGAATAAACATTTTTGAAGACAACAGTTTCTATTGTATTTTATATTTTCCTGAAAATGTAACAAAAAATAAGATATGGTAATTTGACAGTTCACAGTGGACTTATTGTGACATATTTCTTACTAAACTGTCTTTAACACCGTCACCGACGCTAAACACGCTATTAGTAAAATAGTACATTATGAGTCGACGCAATTAATAGTATTGATATGTTTTACACTTCCACAACTTTAAATTAAAGATAAAAAAGAATGATACAAACGGTAACCAAACTCACGATACCGTACCGTGCCCTTACTCTACCAATTGACTTCTACTAGCTACTCAATTGTAGTTAACGCGAGTAGTACATATTTAACACTTTTTGCGAATTAAACGCAATTTCCCGTGACCCCAGCTGCTGCGAAGCATCTAAAACATTGGGTCGTAGTTAAAATGCATTGTAAATAAGTTAACTCATTTATTTCTCGTTATAAACCGTTAAAATTTTTATTTAAGATTAATATTTAACTAGTATATTTATTTTGCTATACAGCGGCAGCAGAAGCAGTAGAGCTGGTAGTGTGGACCGAAGCACTCAAGGATCAAGTATCACTCTCAACTCAGACGAAGATAATATCAACGTCGTTATAAGGTAAGTTTTTTTTTTTTTTTTTTTTAACTTTGGTTCTAATTTGGTTGAAAATGATACAGTAAAGTTTTAGGATTCGTGTTGTTGCTATTTGATACAAACTATCCACGAAGTTCCTGTTATAAGGTAAGTGTCTAGGCGACATTGGTGACAAAATTGTAAGTTGGCTTTATATACTGTTGCGGACATTTTTTCAGATCTCGTCTAAAGAGGAATTAAAGGGAACCTTTATATATAAAGCTGAAGAGTTTGTTTGTTCGTTTGTTTGAACGCCCTAAACTACTAGTTCGAATTGAAAATTTATTTTTATGTTGGCTAAAGTATTTATCGGGGAAGGTTGTACACTATAAAACATCACGCTGTGACTAATAAGCGTGCAGACTGCGAGTGGAAAAAACGGGAAATAATATTTATCTTTGTGAGTTTCCGATGCACAGCGTAGCAAATGAATACGCTGCAAGAATGATTCTCTTAAAATTATTTAAAAAAGTGTCTGCAACAGTATGTGTTTATTTTTTAGAATTACCTTACAAGAAAGACGTGACCGACGTCGTGGATAACAGTTATAATTTATAAAAATAAGAAGAAGGTTTGCAAAAACATATTGAATGTCCAAAATAACTATTCTAAGCGAACGAAGTCGCTGTCACAGCTAGTATTATAAATGTTTGAATAGGCTATAACTTTCTCCCATTTTGTCAGGCACTGATAATAATAATGTGTTCTGATATTACAAACATTATTATTGTATGGGTAACCCGCACTAACATAGGTGGTTGACATTAAGCTAATAAATGAGTTTTATTGATTTCAACGCCGGAGGCAAAAGTAATGGATAAAATAAGTAATTTAGATTGATTGTATTTTAAAACAAGGGTTATTTTTAGTTTTTACATTATTAATGACGATATGCTTATATTTAAAGACGATTTTTGCACGTAATGACAGTATAAGTTAAAAATCTATTTCGATTCAAATAATCTACTACGCGGACGTGATTTGAACCGGCATTAACAGCGTTTTCTTTTATTAAACCAATTGAGCTATCATGTCCTAAACGTCATCGCCAATTTTTTTATATAATACACGATCGGGAATCAAATCCACGATCTTAAATTTTATAGTTTTAAACAGTTAATGTGTTTTTTTTAATGTGTACTACTCGCGTAACCTACAGACAACACAAAAATAATTTTAATAATGTTAGATATATTACAGTATAAATATATTTATTGCATAGTACGCCCTGCATTTTAAACGCTCTGCGATCAAATTTAGTTGTACTTGTAAATTATTGTAATGAGTTTATTTTTCTGATTGTAGAGTGCGACCCGTGAACGAAAAGGAACGATCTGTACGAGAGCGGAACATGCTGGAATTTCCCGGGAAAGGCCAAATTATTTGTCACGGCACGGCCCCGGGACAGAAGCCGAAAGTCTTTTCATATAACGTCGTATTCGAACCAGCGGCTACACAGGTAAAGAATAGCGATATAGATTTGCAAGAATAAATAAATCTGAACCTTTGGACCTACTCAATAGATTAGAACAGATAAGAAGTGGAAGTCTCTTATTCAAAAGTTAATGATTTTTCTTTCATTTCTAATTTACCTACATTTTTATTTAAAGCTTTTTTTCTTTCAATTTGTTAGGACGACGTTCTAGAATATTCTGGGATAAAGCGGTTGCTGGAGATGGCGGTGGAGGGATTTTCGTGTACCGCCTTCTGCTACGGACAAACGGGAAGTGGGAAGACACACACGCTGACCGGACCGCCTGGACTGGTATTGTGCAATTTTTAATATGTACTGTCTATAGTTTACGCGAGTAGTACACATTTAAATAAAACACATTAACGGTTTAAAACGCGATATATTAGTTAAACTTATTTGGAAATGATTTTTAACTTCGGCCCGCATCGCGTTTTAACCCGTGAAAGTGTTTTATTTAAATTTTTAATATGTTTTTGTAATAAACAAGAATCGCAATCGTAACCAGTCAAATAATAATACACACCATCAACATTTAATCTGACCTTAATTTGACCGCCTCTATAGCTAAATGGTTAAACGTATTGCCTAGCATTGCGTTAAGCGCGAGAGGTCCTAGGTTCGAATACCAGGAAAACATAATTGTTACGATCGGGCAGGGTACAGGAGTCTGATCAACTACTTGCCCGTTAAAAGATCGGATCAGTGAAACGGATAAATGTGTTCGCCCCATGCCCCATGATGGGGAAACGGGCTTTCACACACACACCATCGCACACATTCGCAAAAATTGAAATAAGTATTTTACTATATAAATGAAATAACAACTAATGAACGACTCAAGGTCAAGTAAAGGTTAATTAAATAGTTTATAAAAGGGTGAGATCGGCAAATATAATAGGAAAATTACAAATCAGTTTTTATTACGCAAAAGTTTCAATTGACTCAAAACTTTTTGTATTACAAATAATCAACCTATTGTACATTTTAAAGGATGTTACGAATAGATTTTAAAGTTTTTCACCTAAAGTAAATAATATAAATAATAAGGTAAAAATTATTATTAAAAAATTTGTAGGAGGCACTCTTTGCTGAGACACTACTTGTTACATAACTAAGTACAATAGAAAGTAATTTATAATAATTATAGTAAAAAGAATACACATCTTATTCAAAGTACAATAAAAACAAAACAAGATTAAAGAGACGTTGTTATATACGCACTAGCTCTGTCGGCGACGTCGTTCGCGTAGAATGGTTATTTTGGGAATTTAAATTTATTTTTGCAAACTCCAATTAAAGCTGTTATCCACGACGTCCGTCGCGTCGTTCATGCAAGTTAATCTTACAAGAGAGACACAAAGAGTCGCGGATTTTTTTTAGATCATTTAAAGAGGAATTATTCTTTAATACATATTTTTTCGGTATCTTGAACCATTTTCGCATCGTACGCATAGATAACCCACGTTTTTTTTATTTCCCCCTATTTCTTCGCTCCTATTAGATACAGCGGGCCTTCCGGGATAAATTATGTAAGCATCACGAAAAAATGTTCAATTCAAACCAGTATTTACTGAGATTAGCGCGTTCAAACAAAGAAACAAACGCATTATACATTCGTATAGGTATTACGCACATTATTTTAATTACAAGGCAAAATATTTGACTAACATATTCTTTGTTCATTTGTAATAATTATAACGAATGCATCTACTTATAATTGACTCGTCGATGGAGTGGCTAGCTTACTCGAATGCAGAATCCAATTTCCCGGCTTCTATTCCCTTTCGGGTGTTTTTAAATTAAATTCGACTGCTTTTTGTACAAATTGGTGATTCTATATTTCAGAAACCGTATAAGAAATTATAGGTATTACTAAAAAAAATCAAGTTTATTCTTTTATGGTTTACTAAATAGGTATCTGTTTATAATACGAACCTTTATGATAGACGTTATGTTATGTTATCATTAAGCTGTTAACATAGTGTTACGTCACGCGAAAAGCTTTTAGCGTTAAGGTCAGTACACAATGAAACATTAAAAATTGTACACATTAGCGCTTCCGTTTGTTTGTCATTAATCGAATGTTAGACTTCTATATAATTAACACAAAGATGACTTCATTGATATTTGAAAACGATTTTTAAACTGTGGACAAGGAAATTGTTAAGGAAATGTCACAAAGGTTTTCCTGCTTCGAAAAAGTTAAAATTTCAAAGAAAGTGGACAGTTTTTAAATAGAACTTTTACGTTAACTACCGACTGGCGCCATCTATTAATACTTTCCTATCTATAGACTATATTACATTATTATATATGAATTAGTTACCCTGGCACTACTGAAAAAATTTTAATAAAAAAGTGACAATCGGTTGGTGATTTTTTCAATCTTGACATAGGCCGTATTACCTAAAATCTTACATACATTTAAACTTTAGATTATAATGTTTAATTGATTACAATGGGTACTCTGGTATAATGACTTGACTATAATCTAGATACTACAATCAATTATAATTCCGAACTTATAGTGTTATAGAAATCTAAAATAAAACACTTTAACGGTTTAAAACGCGATATTTTAGTTAAACTTTTTTGAAAATTTTTTTTCCCCCGCCCCGCCTTTTTTTTTTTTGTTTTGGTCCCCCCCTGGCCCCGGGGGTTTTAAACTTTTTTTTTTGTCGGGCCGGGGTTTTTTAGTTTTTTTTTTTTTTTTTTTTTTTTTTTTTTTTTTTTTTTTTTTTTTTTTTTTTTTTTTTTTTTTTTTTTTTTTTTTTTTTTTTTTTTTTTTTTTTTTAAAATCATTTTCATATAAGTTTCACTAATATATCGCGTTTAAAACAGTTAAAGTGTTTTATTTAAATGTGTACTACTCGCGTAAACTATAGACAGTATTTATAGTAATACTTTTTACAACCCCTTACTTAGTTCAATAATTTAAATATGTACAGAGTACATATATTAAAGTAGAGAGTGTTTCCAGCCAGTAGACAACGTTTAACAAAGGTTTCATAAATATAATCGGTGTCAACCCTACAGGCACACCAAGAATGACAGTTGGTATCTAATATCTATGTGTATAAGCGATACGCGAGGGTGAAAATCGATCCGACTGACCACGAGGTCGCATTGAAAATCGGAACTTTATATGGGAAAGTTTTGATCAATTCGTTCTTGTCAAGGCAAAGACCTTTTACTGTCAAGTATAGCCAACAATTCTTCTCTTGTATGGATAAGGTATTATTATGTTGATTCGCCAATAATTCATAAAATTAAAATAGGAGAGAAGATCGATAATTTTCAGGTCACCAGATTACAAAAACAGACAGTTTTTAATTTGGGTATCGAATCAATATCCCAGTCTCGCATTTGGAAGTGAGGCCACGACTCTTCGTACTAAATGATTAAATCATAGTTAGTAGAAAATAGTTTATAGATATTACATTGTGTACTATTTTAAACCACTCACATCGAAAGCCTTGTAAAATCAAAATTGTTTGTTTTTTAATGATAGAGAAGAGCAGACAAGCATGGTTCAGTTGATGGTAGGTTAACATCCAGGCTATAGCATCTTTCATTCTTTGGATTTTCGGAAATTCACAGAATGAAACGGAAACCTGATTAAACTTCACGGCTTTTTCATCTGTGGACGTCGGTTTGTGACACGGACGAAATTTCGATATCCCTACTAAAACACTTTAACGGTTTAAAACGCGATATATTGGTTAAACTTGAAAATTTTAACTTCGGCCCGACGTTTAGGATGCTTTACATCAGCCGTGGTCACGGGGAGACAGTTAGAAATAGTTTTCTTATCTGGTGTTATGAAAAGTACACCATTTGTACAGTAAGTAAACAAGTGCAGTCTTATGAATTAAAAATGATAGATGCATATCTATCGAAACGGTTACGTGTGTGTAGGTTGTTTGTAGTTTACGCTAGTAACGTACATTTAATAACTATTAAATTTTGTTTGTTTCTAAATTTTTTTTTCTTTCTAATGAAAATTATACAATAGGAAATTTGGGTGCCTAAAAAAGTACGGAACCCGTCGTGAGTGATTCCTACTAACACTTGCCTAGTTTTCTGCATAATCGTTATATCGTTAAAGGGAATCGCTCTACAGTGTTCTCCATTTTTAATAAAAATAGCTTTTATTTTACTATTTATTTTGAATGGCAAAACTCATAAAACAATTGTATATATTTTTCTACGACCACGGAGCATCCTAAACGGGCCTTTAAGAAATAATATTTTTATAAAATATCTATATAAATAGTGCGTTATAAAACAAAACATAATAATTTTTGTTTAAGGGATATTTCTTGGTGATTCATTACATTTTTAAGAACTACTCTGAAACACTGAATCACCTTTCGTGTCTGATAACAATCTCTCTCGGCCACTTGAATACCTAATTTGCTCAACTTAAAATTAAAAGGGATTTATTAGCATAATTCGTCAATTAAGTAATGTCTGTAGTTTACGCGAATAATACACCTTTAAAGGCGAAATATATCAGTTACTTTCTTTTTTTTAACAACGGCCTAACGTTTCGGACGTTTGCAGTAGCTGTGGTCATAGGAAGATTAAAGATGGACGGTGTCTCTAACGTCAAAGCGAAACTGCTACGCTAGCGCCATCTGTTCCAGTTCTGTAAGGACTGTAGTTAAAATAAATTAAAAGTAAAGTAGCTGATATATTTCGCGTTTTAAACCGCTTAAAGTGTTTTATTTAAACCTTTTCGTCAGTATTTTGGGATAAAAACTGGTTTCAATGACCAGAGGTAAACTAATTACAAAGGTTATATAATTAAATCTGTGTATTAAGTTATTAGTACAGAATCGATCGTGCGACAGCTTGATTTCCACTTTGACAGTTTTTTTAGGACGACCACAGACAAGTAGCTGACCTGACCTGACCATATCAAAATCGAGTATTCTCTGTAGTTTACGCGAGTAGAGCACATTTAAATAAAATACTTTCAACGGTTTAAAACGCGTTATGTAAGTAGCTATCGATAAACGACTATAAGTGTCATACCAAACTGGTTTTGAATACAAAGTATATATTAGTTAACTTATTGTTAGGTCAAGTAATATATTTCGCTTTTTAAACCGTTTAAGGTCATACTAAACTGGTTTAAACCATTTGAAAAATCACCCAATCGAATTTCTACTACTTTCGTAATGTATAATGTTAACTTAATTTTCAGGTGGAAAGCGGTGCCAGTCCCTATTCTCCTGACCATGGGTTGGTTGTGAGGTCCTTCGTCTACCTCTTTAGACTAATACGAGACCAGCCAGATAGTCATTTTGTCCTCAAGGCGTCATTCTTGGAAATATACAATGAGAAGGTATATCGCCCACAAAAGTTTTTGGGTTCCAGTTGAAAGATCAGTAGCGTTGAATGATCAAAGCGGGATATACTTTTTGACTCGGGCAGGACTTGAACTGGCATCGTCAGCGCTCCGTGCTGTTTCTCCGGACAATCTCAATTGGTTAAAACAACAGCACGGAACGCTGACGATGCCGGTGACGATGTCGAATTTTTTTTCAATTTATTTTTGATTTTTAATCTCAAATCGAATAGGCACAGGGTTCCTGCCCGTGTAATATATAATTGCTAATTATTATAACTGTTACCCACGTCATTTTAGCGTGTTCATTTTAAAAGATAGACATATAGGTACTGTCGTGGACAATTTTTTAGAGCACTTAAAGAAGAATCATTCTTTCATACACATTTTTTGGGTTGTTTGAAATGTTTTTGTTAATAAGAATAAGTTTCCCCGATTTTTCCGCATCTCCATCTGTATCTAGCCTCTTATTCGCCGCAGCTATTCCTCCTTCCTTGATGACCTTCCTCGATAAATGGTCCAATCAACACAGAAATAATCAAGGTTCAACTCGAACCAGTAGTCCCTGAGATTAGCGCATTCAAACAAACAAACTCTTTAGCTTTGTAATATTAGAAGAGATTGCACTCTAACAAAGTTTTTAGAATTGACATGCTTAACGGATGTGTAGGTTATAGATCTATTGAATCCCGGGAGCTCGAGAAAGCCCCTACAGGTGCGGTGGTCGAAAGAAAGTAGAAGTTTCTACGTGGAAAATTTGTTTATGGTGGACTGTGAAGAACTTGACGATTTATTCGCTGTTTTGGAAGAAGGTACGTGTTCTAGGAAATCCCACGCTTGGGACAAAATTAATTACCTAATTGAAGATTACATCATTTATACCCTGGTTTGTGTGTACTACTACTAGCAAGGACTGAAAATACTTTTAACATATTAGTTAACTTATTTTTAATTTAATTTTACTTCGGGCCCGACGTTTGGGATGCTTCACACCTACCGTGGTAATGGAGGGATTTTCACGTTTTAAATAGTTGGAAATGTTTTATTTAATTTTAACTACCCGCATAAAATACATATAACATACCAGCTCTGTAAGGTCTAAATGTGTTTCAACTTCGTTCCAACTACCCCCATTTCTGTGATATTCTTACTTTCAGGTATGCGTAACAGAGCAGTAGGCTCCCACGCAATGAACAGTAATTCGTCTCGCTCGCACACGTTGCTTTGCGTACGGGTGCGAAAGGATGTGCGTACGGCCGGTGACGTCACATGCTCTACTCACGGTAAAATTAACTTCGTGGATCTAGCCGGCAGCGAGATGACAAAACGAACGAATAGTACGGGCAAGACTTTGGAAGAGGCGAATAATATAAATCGGAGTTTGATGGTTTTAGGTAACGAAACAACATTTTTATATTTAAAAGGGCTTCATTAACATCAGAATTTGTTAAGCCTTTCTGGTATTAAAAAGCTTACAGACTTATATTTTCGCACTTAACGCAATGTGAAGAAATTCGCTCTATATGTCATTGATAACAGAGTCTAAAAATATGTTTTTGTTCTAGGTTATTGTATAGCTCAATTAAGCGACGGCAAAAAGCGTGGTCACATTCCGTATCGGGATAGTAAATTGACCAAGCTGCTGGCTGACAGCTTGGCTGGGAACGGTGTAACTTTGATGGTGAGTCATCATAAAATTATATTTCCTTCATTCGTTAAAGTTTCATCTATACTAATATATAAAAATGAAGAATTTGTTTGCTTGAACGGGCCAATTACAGGACCTAGTAGTTCCAATTGTAACATTTTTTTGGTTAGAGCGTTTATCGAGGAAGGCTTATAAAACATCGCGCTGTGACTAATAAGAGCAAAAAATAGCGGGAAATGTGGAAAAAAACGAGGAAAATTATTTATCTTTGTTGGTTTCCAATGCAAACGCTGCGAAAATGGTTCAAGTTACCCACAAAAATGTCTACCACCCTGTATGTCTATCGAGTTAATCTTAAAACTTGCGAGAAAATTTATAAAGATGAAACGGAGGTTTATAAAAACAAATTCGGATGCCCAAGATAACCATTTTACGCGGTTGAAGTCGCTGACACAGCTAGTGTAAACTAAACGTTAGTTATTTCTCCTTTCTTTTCTTTCTACAGATTGCTTGTATAGCCCCAACGAAGTCCAACCTGAGTGAAACTATTAATACTCTAAGATACGCCGCTAGGGCAAAGAAGATCAAATCTAAACCGATTGTTAAAATGGTAAGTGAGGACTGAACCGCTGTTACAAAGTTACAAATGTTTTATAGTAGTAAGGTTTAAAGACAATTGTTTCTGTGTATTGAGTGAATTAATTCTAATATATACAATTCTTACGCCACACACACTGTTTGTCCGCGTACACCTCCAAACAATCTTGATGGGATAAAAAATTAAAATGAAGACTATGCATACATTTGAAAAAACATTATTGTCTTTTATGAGGTCATCTCCGGGTCATCTCAGGACAATGATGCAATACCTATTATATTTTGTAAAAATATGTAATATCATTTTTATTTTATCAGGACGCCCGAGATGCCCTGATCTTGAGTTTGAAACGTGAAGTGGACACTTTGCAAGCCGAAAATCAACATCTGCGAACCGCTTTGCACATACAAACAGACTACAATATGGATTCCTATAGTAAGCATTTATAAAAATATTTTATTTAAATTCTCGTCAGGACACTGTCCCTAGTCAGTAGTTTACGCAAGTAATAACACATTTAAAAAAACACTAACCGTTTAAACCGCGATTAATTAGTTAAACTTATTTAAACATTAACTACGGCCCGACGTAGCTGCTGTTAGTGTTTTATTGAAATCTATTTAGCATTTTAAACTTTATGATAGACATGATGAATTCTAATCTTTCTGATTTCTTTCTACCAGTTCAAAGGAACCGTCAAATGCCTCTAGAACCAAACAAGCTGTACCAACTCCCTCAATCCGAGCTGGTGGAACTGATCCAGCTTCATATGGAAGAAAATTCGGCACTGAGAAACGAGAATACGGACCTGTTCAATATCAGAGATCAGCTTCTACGCGATCAAGAGATACTAAGTAGGGAAAACGAGAGGCTTCTCAAGAAATTGGAGGATGTCAACTCGTAAGTAAGAGTGTTACCCACAATTGAGGCCGCTAGATGCAAAGTAGCCTAACTAGCTTTTACAACTTGAGTTCTTTATGTTTTCATAGTCTAAAAATGTTAATCTACAAGAGCACCGAAAATTGTTAAGATAATAGTTAAATTCTAGACTAAGTTAATTGCGCATTTTTATTTTCTTCCTTATTGAAAATAATATTTTTTGTTATTAGGCCACTCTGCCTGTAGCAACCTCGATTGATCTTTGATATTACCTAGTCAATTCATTTCTTAGCTGTTTTCTAATTTTCTGCAAGTAAAATGGGTAGGTACCAAAGACCTCGTTACTTAAGGGTATTTTTGTAAAGGCTTTTAACAATTCGGCAATTATAATTTTTCTAAACCTCTTCTAGAACACTATTTGGGAGCTGATCAGGTCAGTGCGACAAAGCCATGTTTGCACAGCAAAGATAAACCTGAATTAAATAAAAATATGCATGAAATTAAAGCGAAAATGATAAAAGTACACACGGCTAAAATTGCACTTTTCGGTAGATGTTTTTTGTTGTTTAAAAGTACAAAATGAAACTGATAAATAAATATATTGCCCTAAACTTTTTAACTAATTTCTTGTATAAGCAAATAAGCAAAATATTTTTACGACTTACTTATAATATAACACAGAATTACGATGGGCTATTGACCTTTCGACGATAATTTCAATAGTTTTTTTTTTTATTTTCTCAAACTTTTTACACAACTCCTGAGTACAGAATCAGAGTTTTGAAAGGGGAAACTGGGGCTACCCCCCACGTAGCCTATAGTGGATATAAAGATTTCGTTGTTTTTTCCATATTTCGATTAATAAACAACTTTTCCTTTGATATTTTTTATTCCTATTTGGTTGTACTGTGTTTGTATTGAAACCAATTAGAAAAAACAATATAATAATATTTATTAATGTTTGGATAATAATAATAATAATGTTTGGAACATAATTGGGGCTAGGGGTGGTGTGTTTAGTGGTTCTGGTCGGCTATACGATACTCCCCACGTCACACTTGCCCCACGTGGGCGTGCATTACGCATTCGCACGATCAGTTAAAAAAAAAAGGTAAGGTTGGCCTGGCCCCATTTTGTTTCATTCCTTTGTTATCTCATGGGCCATCCAGATCTCATAATCCGGTCCTGTCTCGATTAATTTATACCACATAATCATTTCATGTAGAAAGAACAAGAGAAAAATATAAATTCTCTACATAATAGCTTAAGATATAACTTTCATATTTATTTTAGTGTATGCGTCAGAAGCCCAATAATACCTGCGCGACCAACTTATTCGGAGGTCAGTACGAGCGATGTGAACATTTGGACGAACATGAGTTCGACGAATAGCGCTGTTAGTGAAACTTAGTTTAATTTGGATTTAAGTAAAGTTTTGGCAGAATGAAGACAATAAATTGTATTAATTCTAAGTGAATTAAATTCGAACGAAACTGTAAGCAAAGGTGTTTTAAGAATATATATAGATATTTTTCATTTTGTTTATTGAGCGCAGGGCGAACAAATCTTTTTTTTGTTTTACTAATTGCTTTTATTCACAGGCAATTATGATCAGACTTCTATACCTACCCGAAACAAACTATTGTTTCCACGTGATTCTAACCCAAAATCTCTCGCGCGTTACGTAATAACCATACAAAATAAAAGTATGATCGATATTTGTCGTAGTTATACTATATTTTTATATAAATTACAAAAAAAGTACATCTTAATTCATTACTTACCCTCAAATATATGAGGGTTCTTAAAATGTTTAGTCCATTTATTTAATAGTTTAAATACACTATTTTAAATAAAAATATGCTTTTATTTGTCAATTTAATTTTCTTTGTATTTCCACAGAATATAACAAAGTAGAACAGACACAGTCAAGCTTCATTACTATTACCCACAGATATACTTAAAAACAAATTATTGATTTACACTTATGTTAACTCCACACAAAATTTGTATATCAGTCCACAATATCTTTCTAGTTGTCATCAACTAGAAAGAAGTTATTGCTAGTGTCTTCTGAAACCATACTTCTTTCTCTCGTAGAACAAGTCAGTTTTTGAACTGCCGAGGTTAACAATCTTTGGGCATCCATCTCTCTGAAATAAATGAAGAGTTGAGTTTGACAAACAAATACTACATTGTCTTATTAACTTCTTTGATGTTACTAAATAAAAACCCTGGGTGTTTCTGAAAGATTTAAAAAGTAGGAAGATAGTTGTCATTACTCAGGATAGTGGTTTTTTATGACTGTGACACCCAAGATAAATGAGAAGAACTATCAACAGTTTGACTAAGTTGCTTATCCATCTGGAGATGGCTATTTCGTAACTCAGACAGAATATTTATATTTATGCCACCTATTTAATAAAATAGTGGTACAACATGGTGACATATCAGTAGTGGTTCTAAAAGTAAGCAGGGCCTATATAGCCCTTAAAAAATTAAAGTATGATCCAGTAAGGTATAATGGAAGTGACAGCAAAGCTGTTTCTTCACTTCTTAACTATTAGTAATAGCTATAATTAACATTTACTTACATCCTTCTCCTGTATGGTACATTCCTTACAGTAATATGCGTCTGAAACCCCCGGGCCACCGCAAATAACACATCTCCCTTGGTAAGAACCATAATTGCATTCGTCGCATATTCTGACCAAGGTGCACGGACGTACATAAGAGTCACATATTACGCATTTACCATCGCACTTTTCGCAAAGGCGTCCGATAGCTGAAACAACCGTAACTATCTATAAAAATGTATTAAACAATTACATTCCAAAATGTTTTTATATACTTACCTACGCCGGGTTGTTTCCTGCAGAAAATCAAATCAGGGTGATGTTTAGCCATAGTGGAAACTTTCTACGTATGAATGAGATTACAATTTCAATACTTATATGTTTATGAAGCGGTATGAAATAAACAAACTTGCGGATACAATTAATAAAATAACCTGAAAATGTAGATACAGCGATCAAACTTTCAATGTCAATTCTCATACAGAGCATAATGTAAAAAAAAATCGTAAATTTAAATAACATACTCTGTGTTTAAATAAACACTTTTAAAATTTTAAATCTGTATGAGTAACTAATTCATAAATTATTTTATAATACTTAATTTGGCTTAACTTTACGAGGCCATAAAATATTAATTTAAAACAAATCATAAGACTTAATCATTCACTCTGTGGTTGTCAATTGTCACATCTCAAAGCCGTAACTGTCTTAAAAAGTCATAAACATGTGTTTTCCTGATTGTGTATGGCGTATACAAATTTACGAGTTTTAATTTGTGTTAATTTAGTAAGGTCCTCTTAAGTATTTGTTTTTTACAATGACGGCTGAAAGCGATAATAGTGCGAACGAAAATAACCATTCTGAGGAAGAAACACAGGTTGAGGAGAATGTCGAAGGGCTAGAAGAAGACAATGTTACATTCAAAGATTTAGTAAGCAATATTATTTTATTTCGTGTAATAACTTTGACTTACCATTATATTACTTACAGCATATTGTGTGCTTTTAAATATATTTTTCGGTCAATTGAAGGCAAATACAACATATGATTTTAGGTTATGTTTGTGTTAATTCTTCTTGTCTGTCTATTCTAGGGCGTAGTAGATGCATTATGTGAGGCTTGTGAAGAACTTAAATGGAAGAAACCCTCGAAAATTCAAAAAGAAGCCATCCCAGTGGCACTTCAAGGCAAGGATGTAATTGGTTTAGCTGAAACTGGCTCGGGTAAAACAGGAGCATTTGCCCTGCCAATTCTGCAAGCCCTACTTGAAAGTCCACAGAGGTACTTTGCCCTAATCCTCACTCCTACAAGAGAGTTGGCATTTCAAATATCAGAACAGTTTGAGGCCCTCGGTAAGTAACCTTCAACAAATTTTAGTTAGTTTTCATTGATCAGAAGACAATATAATTATCACATTTTTTTAAAATTACTAACATACTAATAACAAAACGCTGTTTTTTTAGACTTAAAATTGCACTAAATGTTCTTTTTTTATGGACCTAGCATATTTAAAGCAATAACTGTTTTTTTTTAAGGTGCAAGCATAGGTGTCAAATGTGCTGTCATTGTTGGTGGTATGGACATGGTAGCTCAAGCTCTGACCCTTTCAAAGAAACCTCACATCATTATAGCAACACCCGGAAGATTGGTTGACCATTTAGAGAACACAAAGGGTTTTAATCTTAAGGCTTTGAAATATCTTGTGAGTACATTTACTTTAAATAATTTAAAGCCAGTATAAATTACAAACATTACTTAAGGCTAAACATGTTGCCTAGCATTGCTATTGCTTTAAATATCCTGTTCATCAGGTCCTGGGTTCGAATCCTAGAAAAAAGTACAGTTTTGTTGGGCAATGCACATAAGTTTAATTAACTACTTGCTTGTAAATAAAAGTAATAATTGAAATAGTAACAGAAACCCATGCGCCTATGCCTCAAGAGGGGAAGGAAATTTCACGTTTTACATCTGTTTAAAATATTCATGTAAGTTTTTATTTAATTTGGCTTATTGTAAAGGTTATGGACGAAGCTGATCGAATCTTGAACATGGACTTTGAAGTGGAAGTTGACAAAATCCTACGCGTTATACCCCGTGAGCGTCGCACGTTCTTATTTTCTGCCACAATGACCAAGAAAGTTCAGAAGTTGCAGAGAGCCTCCTTACAAGATCCTGTCAAAATCGAGGTCTCTACTAAATATCAGACCGTTGACAAACTACAGCAGTACTATGTGTTTATACCTGTGAAATATAAGGTTTGGCTATGTTTTTTTGTAGTAATCTTGTACTTATCATTAATATCCTAATAAAACTGGTCACATGAAGTCCTTATTTTGCTTGATGTACTATTATAAGCCTTTGGTGAAAACTGTCCAGACTCTGTAGCTTAATGGTTGTGCCTAGCATTGCATTAAGCGCTAAAGGTTTTACATTCAAATCCCGAGGAAACAATAGATTGTTTGGTCAGGTAGGACACAGAAGTCTAATTAACTATTGGCCTAAAAATAAAACTTACTAGTAAAATGGACATAAATGTGTCTACATTATACCCCATGAGGTAAAACAGGGATTTCACTTTTGGAGCCAATTGTACACAGCATATGACTGGTGGTGGAAAATATAATATTTAAATTAGCAAATGTCACTACTTGCAAATCAAATATTATTAGCTAGGTATGAACGTCAGTTAATACAGTTATAACTTCTAAATTTACATTTACTATCAGTGCCCAAATTAAGAGTAGAACGAACGAGATGAACTGGCAAGAAACTCGTCGCCGTCTCTTTATAGTCATATTGATTCATCTACATGTCCAGCTAATGTCACTATAAAGTAGCTGTACACTGGACTGATTCTCCTCATTTTTAATGTCACATGGCTGATGTTCAGAAGAGTAACTACTTGGGGTTTAAATGATTATTAATAATAAAATTTATCTACCTTTAGGACGTGTACCTAGTACACATTCTCAACGAGATGTCGGGCAATTCGTTTATCGTGTTCGTGGCAACGTGCGCGGGCGCACTACGCACCGCGCTCCTTCTACGTGCGCTGGGCGTGCCCGCCGTGCCTCTGCACGGGCAGATGTCACAGCACAAGAGACTGGCCGCGCTCAACAAGTTCAAGAGCAAAGCGCGTTCGGTGCTTATCTGCACAGATGTCGCTTCTAGGTAATTTTTTTTCATTTCTAATATGACATTTAAATCATGATGTTTCTCGTCCTCTGAATTTCAAGATACTTGCCCTAACTCTTAAACGTATATATTGAAAAGAGTAAGTAATTGCTTTTTTATAACTCCTTCTTTATCCTTAATATATATAGCAATTTCTTTTTAAGCCATATATCATCTAAACAAGATCTCACTGATCTGAGATGTGGACCTATTTTGGCTTTGGATATAGGGAAATCTACAGACTGCAAAACGCAATTAAACTTCACGGCTTTTTCATCTGTGAACGGTGATTAGTGACCCGGATGGAATTTCCATAATTCTAACCAACCAATGTGTTTTTCTATATGTAACTATGTCCAATTTTAATATTATATCATAGCTATACTTAATTCTGAAATCTTCAGGGGTCTAGATATTCCACATGTTGATGTGGTGATCAACCTGGACATCCCTCTCCACAGCAAGGACTATATTCACAGAGTGGGAAGGACTGCAAGGGCTGGTCGGTCAGGGAAAGCCATCACTTTTGTGTCTCAGGTAAGGTGCTTTGTTGGTATAAACACCTCCTTTTGCGTAATTGAAGTTAACAGGCCAAAAAATAAAATTATCTAATACAGTGACACCTGGATAAATAAGAAACCTCTATTATTAGGAGTTGTAATGAGGTCCTGGCTCTTTTTCGTAAAACTATCTGGTAATGGAACTTTTTGATCCCAGTTAAAAGAGATGTGGATTCTAAGACTTTATCGACATTTACTTCTATAATTGAGACTAGCTCAATTATCTGTATAAGTAAGACATGTAAAGTCCTGATTATTATAAATAATAATATTAATGTAATCAGGTTTTTACATGTTATGACATGTTTGTTTACAAACAAATGTGGCAGTCTCTATAAATGAGACAAATATAATTTTTAAAACTTAATTGGAAAACTGGATTCTTGACATATATTTAATATTGATATGTCTTGGTCCCTTGAGATCCCAATTAACCAGGTTTCCTTGTACTGTTATTGCTTAGTACCACAAAGTTAATAAATAAAAAATTTCTACCTTTCAGTATGATGTAGAACTTTACCAACGAATTGAACAATTGATTGGAAAGCAGTTACCACTATACAAGACTGAGGAGAGCGAAGTGATGGTATTACAGGAACGCGTAGCTGAAGCACAGCGTCTCACTAAGATTGTATGTATTACATGATATTACTCTTGTCAAAAAGGATTAAACTTGTAAGGTTTCCAGTCTAACTTTCTTTTTTATATCTTCTCCAGGAAATGAAAGAGCTAGAGGACAAAAAAGGTGGAAAAGGCAAGAAACGTGGTGCAGATTCTGATGATGACACAGAGGAGGCAGCCGGCGTCCGCAGACGCATTAAGGGAAAACCCAAACATGGTGGAAAAAAGAGACGTTAAATAAAGGCTTTTTAAAATAGTTGGATTTTTTATAAACCTTACTTATATGAGTAATATTTGTGATTGACTGCAAGTTTTGAGTTTACAAGTAAGATTAATAATCTAACATTATTGTCTCTCCCAACTTTTATGTGCTTGAAATCTGAACAGACATGCTCATATTAAAACAGCAGTCTTTTGTCTCTAATACAAATGATACATATGTGTATAATAGTATAATTGCTTTTTATTTTGACTTTTTAGGGTATTTTGAGCATTGTAAGTGTAGATCCTTAGTTATCAAATAATGTGTCTTTTAAAAATTTCTACCAAATGTAATATTAAATTAGATCGTATGATAACTTGTAGCACAACTTTTTGTTAAACAAACAAACACGATGTTTCAATGCTTCTTACAATTTATTCTACAAAGTAAAACAGTCATATGTTCAAAAATAAAAATAAATAAATAAAAATGTGTCGCACGACCCCAATAGAGGGCGCTGTACTCAACGTACCAACTACGCGCTTACACTAAGCGTCAAGAAGAAATCACAACATGGTTTCAATTTATTTAATCATTATTTATTATTTCTATACAAATAGAACTGTACAGATAATTTTTTAAATTATTTACCACATGTCATCCTTCACAATAGACTTTTTACAAAAAACTGAAATCGGCACCGTGCATGTGGCACGCACACACCGCCGTAGTGTAGACCGCGTCGCGACCCCAAACGCCACAATGCACCCCTCGAGCTGCGCTACGCATCCAACATCACAATCCAACCCAAATCACCAGCGACTGGCAATACTATCTCATGCGAACGGCAACACAATGCGAAATTGTGTCCTCGGTGCGCCCTCAACTTTGTTGAGGAACGCTTTGTTTATGACAATCTGGCAGCCCTATTGTGCTTAGCTATACTGGCCTCATAATATAAAGTCACTATAGTCACCGGTTGTCCTTTTATCACCCTACCCACTCAAAAGAAAAGCCTCTTAACCATGGGTGATGTTACAATTATGAGGCCCTGCATTTATACTTTTCCACCTTGCGATGAGAGATATAGGATAACTTACACTGCGGGTGGGAATACTACCTCTATTAGTCTTACAGCTTTGTCTGTATTTTTGACAGTAGCAAACATATGCTGAACACATGTTTAACATGATTATTGTAGTAAGACAATTTAGGAATGGCTAGCACGCAACTAACATACACATTTTATTGATTACATCTAATGAATACAATGATAAGGCATATTTTCAATACAAAAGGAGGTTTTGGCATAAGTTATGAAATATCTCCTTGATACAGAATAAGTATGATTTTTAATTTGTCATATCAAAACACTGTGGCAGTGATGTTACACTTTTTGTTACCTAAATGCATAATACTTTTAATTAAAGGTGAAAAAGTATATCAACATATTCGATTCTTAGCTATGTGTACTTTGGATTACCACAATTTGACATGCATGATGAATACATTCACTTATGATTTTATTTAGGCACATTACAAACACATACTATTTCCAAAGTCATTCATATGACCTCCCCAAATTCAAACAATATTATAAAACAATTATTAAACATAAAAAAGGGGGGCTCGGGAGTAGTAGAATTTGTATTAAATATATGATTTCATTTACGCAGTACATGACTGCATTAAAATCAACATCTTCATTTGATGTGAGTAATTATGATTAAAATTGTTTATATCATTCCAATTGTAATAACTTTTATCACACTTGCAAAGCACATAATTTAATTAAAATAGCAAATTCATGATTATCGCAATCGGTTCAACAATTGATTCTGTGGTAATACAAAACACACACATAATTTCAAACAAACCCAGTCTCTAAATAAGTTTAAAACAAATGCCCAAAGCGCTCTTAGATTTAATCTTTTCAATTATGTGTTGCAGTCCATCAGAGTTGGATCCAATAGCATTCCAATTATAATTCATAAAATAATATAAATAGGTTAAAATACATATAATGCAATTATTTCATTTCAAAGCTAAAATATTTAGATATTAGATCCAAATCAAAGGCTGCAGGTCAAGTAGAATCCACTATGACTAGCATAATCCCTATATTAAGTATTGCTTCGACAGAGGTATTTGTTACGAGCGATGTCCTGGTAATAGTCTGTATAGTTTAGCCGTACATGAGATTCCATAGAGCATGATCGACACGCGAGAGACATCCGAGTTGAAAAGAACTGTGTTTCCAAGTGCGCTGAGGGCCCTAAACCGATATCACATGTTTCATTATACTTATTGAGTCTCATCGTAATGTTTCGCATTTTCGTTCACTTACAAATTCGTTACTCTACTGTACAATATAACAAACTGCCAGAAGAGAGTGAAAATTATTTTACAAAAGACACGAGGCGCTATACAAATCGTAACACATCAAACGGAATAAATTAATATGCTTTCTACATACAAATTCGAACGCCTCGTTCACATCACAGAAATAAGCGACAAGTTAATACTTACATTGGAATGACACAAGGATTTCTCGGTACAAGGCAATCTCGGTTGATTCTGATGGATATTGCTCGAATACACTGTCACAAACACTAAACACTTGTTCCTTCACTATCGGTGTTCACAATCACTGGTCACAAGAAGGTCAGCGCGTGGGCCTCAGCCCTGCGGCCTCCGGGGCGAGGGGCGCTGTGCGATGCGAGGCGGCTCAGTTCACGGATTCAGTTCAAGTCTCGGTCTTCTAAGTACTTGTACTCAAACGTGAAGCCCTCTTTTTTCCGCTGGCCCCACTTCTCGTAGTCAAAGTATATGTATGTTCCCTGGAAAAATGATCGTCTTTGAGTTAATTTTTGCAGCTATAGTGCTAACTTGGTGTACATACTGATTGTCCATTAAAAAGATCTATAGTATTCTTATAGGATTTTAAAAGGGTGTAAAAATATACCTGTTCATACTCTTCATTAATAACTTTGGGTTCCTCATGCCTCTGGAACCACATCATGTACTTAGTGTGGAACCGCCAGCTCTGCTTTTTGAGTGCTTTGGCGGCAAGGTACTGTGCTTTCGTTCCTTCCATGTAGTAAAAGACGAAGAACAGCGTTTCCGTCGATAGCCGCTGGAAGAACTCCACTGTGTCAGAGTGAGGTAGCAGCACCTGCAGCAAGTAGAGATTATTATTATTCATATTAATTTCCTGAATTATGTATTAGTAAATTTTAACTATAAATTAATATTCTTCCAATTAGTTATGAGGGTAGATGCAATAATTATACCTGATTATAGTAGGCGGGGGTCTGACAGATATTCCTCGGGAGGTATACCCTCGTCCGCTCAGAGTCCGACGGGTGTGGCGTATGGAGGTATGCTGCTTCTAACATTTGGAACTGTAGCTGGTGCTCCTGAAATAGATAGACAATAAAGAATTTAAACCTTATCAGTAGCATTTACAAAAAAGACCATGAAATTATAAAGAAGGAATAATTAACATAACGTACCGCACTTAGTGGTAAGGGTCCTAATGGCGCTACACCTAATAACGGTGGGATGTGGGCCTGAGATAACGGAACCCCTCGCCTTGTATTTTGCTGAAATGAGCAACAAATTCATTTTAAAATAATAGCATGTAATGTATTTGACTTTGAAGAAAAAAATATCTCCATAAACCACACAATAACTCTTTAACTCTCAAACCTTTTAATTTAAAAAGACAAAATAAAAATACTTTAACTTAGTCTTAACAGAATAATAATACACTAAGAAGTTAGACACTCCACAAGATAGTCCGCATTAGTGCAACGTTACTACCACCTATATTCTGTATTTGTATTGTGTTACTAGCATCTGTATTCTGTACTTGGATTGTGTACCTGTAGACCCGCTCTGTGCACAGCTTCCTGCGCCATGCTCTTGAGCGTAGTGGTCGCTAGGGGGTCTGGCGGGGGCTGCGTGGGCGCAGCGGCCGCAGTATTACTACTTGCGCTAGTTCCACTACTCGCGCTCGCCATACTGATCCCGCTTAGCGCTGGCGTACTAGGCGTTTCGCTTACTCTACCGCTGAAAATTATAAAAAAATGACGTCAAAAGGTGAGAAGTGTATTTTTTTTACTAACATTAGTAACAATAATGCATTTAAAACGTTTTGTTACGTTAAAATGTCAGTAAGTAGCACAATCCCTATTCCCAATATTTATAAAGGGTTTTCTTTTTAAAGTTTTTCGCGCATTATTCTCTTTAGCAGTATTCTTTTTATTTCATGGCAACACTGAAATGATTCGAAACGGTTTATAGCAACAGGTGCAACCGTGGCACCATCATTGATTCATTATGAAAAAGTCAAGTCATAAATCACACCAGTTTAAACTAGACTCTTATTTTCCTTTTCTACTAGCTCTTAAACCAAGAGCGTAGAACGAACAAGAAGGACTGGTAAAAAACTCTCTTTTATACTCTTAGTGTGAAAACAGATTTTTTTCATTTATGCATGCACATGCATATTATATTTTTTCCTTATTGTTACATTGATGTATATCGAAAAAACCATCTACCCACTTGTTAAGCATATGTTGCGGCGTATGGTGCGCATTATGCAGGGGTCCGTTCAGCGTGATCGGCGAGGGCGGAGACGGCGTGACCCTGTTCGTGCTCGTGTTGCTCACGCTCTGGTTCTGACTCGCGTTCGTCGTACTCGCGTTCGCGTTCGTAATCGGGTTTGCGATCGCGGTCGCGAGCGTCGTCGCTGACGAACTTTTTGCTGTCTGCGGAGAGGTGGACTTTTAACACAATAACGATGGGGTTTTGCTTATTTATTAGCCATAGCGATTGGCACCACCAAAACTGCTAACTTAAATAATTTATAGATTAATGATAATTATGACTATGTTCATATTTTTCATAGCCTTTTTTATGTAAAGCATACAAACACAATAGTTAAAACATTTTATATACTATTGTGTTTGTATTGTTTAAAGTACTTATTCTAATTCTAATAGTGGAAACTCGTAATTGACTCTTTTTTTGTCTACACTGGTTTCGTAGCTGTAAGTTTTCTTAAAATTTAACAAAAAAAGGAGCTTAGCACAAAATGGGCACAAAAGTCTCGAGGAGCTGAGCACGCTCGAGGTCTAAACTTACTGGAGCGGGTTGCGACGGGACGGGCGCTGGTGCTTGCGCGGGCGCAGACACGGGGCCATTCTCGCACACCTCTGCAACAGACCACACAACTGTCTCTTCCACTTCAAACAACATTGCTCTCGGTTCAAACATCAAGGATCGTGCAGATAGTCTACACTTATATAGTGAGATTTTGTTACGATGGAAGCATTATTTTATTAACTTGAAAAGCTCGATCCAGACAAAGGCAGAATATAAATGAAATAGGTGCAAAATGGGGAAAACTTATTCTTCCGGAAACCACAATAATAAATGATTTGCATTAGATTTAAATTATATCGATTAATTGTATTTTTTATATAATACACTTTAGCACTTCGATTTAAAGAAATCACATCACAAAATCAAAAAGTTTTGTTTATTTTTAAAATTGTCATTTTAAATGTTTTGAACAACTTCTTTTTCTTTTTTCATCTTGTATTGCTTCTCGTACATTTGCTTTTAGCTATCACGCCACAATAAATGAAATGCGCAATATTATTATTCTACAAGAATATACTATTTTTATTTTTATCTACACTTAACAAAGTTCGTTCGACATTTTGTGTTTAACCGACCACTAATGGCTAATTGATTAGCAACAAATTAATAAGTAATTACATAAGCAATTAAAAAAACGATGAAAAAATCAACAAAATATTAAAATGAGCGTTTGACGAAAATGAAATTACCATCGTCCATAATTATTTTTCATAAGCGCGGGAAACCATTTTTTTTTTTTTTTCTTATTTCGAGGCACAGATTGCGCAAAAACAATGCTCGCGACTGAACGGATCTCGCGTGTCATCGCGTCTGGATGCGCGCCAATTTGGCGGATCCGTAAAATGGCTGGCGTGATGCCAGTTTATTGCGCGCAGGTTACTCATTCATTGCTAGTGATGAGCTGTTTAGGTGGAATATACCGACATGCCTTACTAATAATGGTAGAAAATAAACGTGTGGTAAAAATATTTATTTATTTTTAACAGTAATTAATGATTTAAAATTGCAATCTAAAGTTATTCGTTTGGACCCAAGTCTATCGGCTCGAAAAAACGAACGTCAATTGTTTTTCGGTAATTTTCGGGCATTCTAGTTTAGTTATAGTATTTATGTTTAATACACTTTCTGGGCTAATAAAAGTTGTCCACGATAAGTTCTATTTTCCTGTAAAAATCGGTATAAATAGGTATGTAATGAGGTAGTCACATATCTATGTAACACGTGATAACACGTTGTTTTGTAAACAATGTAACGCGGTGTTAACCACTTACTGAGTGTACGTACTTGAGACGTAAAAATATAAAGTTTTTTTCCGTATACCTATTAAATCGAATACAATTAAAATCAATGTCAAATGAATTAATAAAAAAAAATGTTTTGTTTGTCCTTTTACGCGAGTAGATTAAAAAATAAATTACTTTTAATCGTTCAAAACGCGTAATATGGTAATTATTTTTTACTACGCGCCGACTTTTAGGGGCTTCTTAGCAACCGTGATCGTTGTGGTATGTAACTGGTGAAATTTACATTATTAAAGCAAATCTGCTAACCTAGCGCCACCTGTTGCCAGCGTAGTGGATATTTAAAGATTCGGATCGAGGTTTTAAATTTTAAATGGTTCATTATGGTTTATTCACAAATATGAATGGCGAGTACTCACCAGTGTTATTAGGCCGCTGGTGGGGCGAACTCGGTTGGGGCTGTTTGATCGGCGTCGAGGTTCCAGACACCCCCGTACTGTTCACACTGATACTGTAAGAAATCCTTTATTACAATAAAGTATTTATTAACTGTTTTCCTCAGTGGGGCATGGGGTTAATATATTTCTTTTTATTTTTTAATTAGAACCAATCTTTCATTTTACGTTTTATTTGAAGACAAATCAAAATCCGTATATTATTGTCAGCTTCTCCCTCTCTCCTCGGAGAGAGCGAAATGGGTGATTGGAAATACGAAAAAAATACTGTCTAGGTTACGGGAGTAGCACACATTAAAAGACACTTTAACGGAAAGTGTCGGGCCTTAGTTAAAATAATTTTGATAAGTTTAATATATATGGGGGGAGCTCAGGCGAAAAGAAACCATCGACAACCTACAATGAGCTAGTCCATTGCCTAAAACCAAGGGAAGTGAGGTGGCGACTGACCTATTGTTCGCAGCGGAGTGATTGAGCGCGCTAAGGTTAGGACTAGCTGCCGAGCCGCACGACAACGCGCGGAGCGGGAGCGGCTTCACCGGCTGAAATGGTTCAAGATTAGTTTTAGGTTCTCTCCATATACTGTTGCTAGAGGCAGAGGAGCTTAACTGTATATTTTCATAGTCTAAAAGTGTTATCTACAAGAGAAAATCATGTTTTTGGTTATTTGGACACTCAAATATCCTAAAAATCTTTTTTTCATTATTCCGACTTCTGTCGCACAATTACCACAATTCTTAAAACCACCCGTTGGCACGAGAAACAAAAAAATAAGATGCGCTATTAGTGAACGACATTATACCGGTATTTTTTTTGCCTGTACAACAGGAAAATACATAAATTTTCATTCATGAGATACTTGCAACGTAGTTAGTTTTAGGTTCGGAGTATAATATAAGAGTGTGGATACTATGTATGTTTTATGAATACTAAGTAGTAATGGTCTAAAAACCCAAAACGAACCATAAGGCATTTATACTCCAATCAATATTGCTTAATTGGTTGATGCAAATGTACTGATGGGCTTGATCAAAACTCACTTTGGTCGGTTCGTCTTTCTTCTTCTTATCGATGTCGACAGAATCAGACGTGTGATTGTGTAGATCTAGGGGCGACGTTAAGGGACTTGTACCTGTTGAAAAGAGTTTAAAAAATTTATTAATTATATGTTTAAATTTTTTATAATATTAATAGATCCAATTCGTCGTTTCAATGGGAGCGATGTTTTAAAAATATCTTTGTAATATTCTAAAATATTGTAGATTTTTGGAAAATCAGGATTTCCAATGGTTGGGTATGAAAGGGTTTCGTTCAAAAACCACCCTCCGTCAAATAAAAAAAGCTGCGAAGTCTTATCGCATTTCGATTTTCTATATTCAAGATGATAATATCTCATCTTGTTGCTTGTTATATGGCTGAGGTATTCCACCTTCCATCAAGTGATTTGTTGTTTATATTCTTTAAAACATCCACATTTTACACATGTGCGCTTACCTGACAGTATACTAGTGGGAGATCTGGGCGAGTCGTTGCTGTTGTTGCTGTCGGTGGTGGCGCAGGAGGGCGCGCCCACCCCGCTCAGCTCGATCTCGTCCAGGCCCCCGATGCCGTCGTAGATGAAGTCCAAGTTCGTCTCGAAGCCCGGGTCCATCGCGACCGATATGTAGTACTCTACGTCATCCCTTATATCTTTAATCTGCAACGGTAGGGATGTCTTTTCTTTACGTAAATCTTGCAATCAAAAAAGCGGCACGAACGAGCGTCATCGGGGTACAAACATTATGATTATATAGGGAAATATTCTTGCTATTAAAAAACAAATGGATCTTTAGCGGAATTTTAAGGAAAGAAATAAACATCCTCTAGTTACCAAATATATTTTAGTGAATACAGAGGCTTAGTAAACTTATTTGATAGTTAAATTAAACCTTAAATGTAAGTAGTTTACTATAGATAAACATTAAGTTATACCAAATAAAATTTACGCATCTTATACCATAAATAAATAATCAACACTTGTCACAAATAAATTTGCAATATACACATCAGTCATCAGTGTTTTATCTGAACCATTAAAATTAGTTTAAAAGTCATCAAAACTTATAAATTGTATAGGGCTTTCGAGGCTTATTTTGATAGCCACTTGGTTTTTCGTGCTGATTAGTGAAAACTGAAAAGTGAACCATACGCTTGCCTGTTCTGTCTGTCCTCTATTATTAAAAAAACCGTTCCTTCATCCAAATTTATTTGTTGGATATGCGCTATGCACTTCATATATATTCTATTAAGACTATAAATGTCAAATAGAAAAATTTAATAGACTCACCTGATCAGTTTTAATGGACAGATTGTCCAACATCCGCAGCAGTGTTTCTAGTTTCTTGATGTGAAACCTGTGCTTCTCCAGTTTCGTTTTGAGCTCGTCCATCCGGTCCTGCTTCTCTTTATCCAGTCGCTTTTTTTTGCCTACCAGCAATGACTCCACCTCCGACTCGAAGAGATCAATCTAAAGGAATAATTTGCTTTGGTAAATAGGTTGGAACACAATAGAAAATAGGATTGTTGATTTGTTGTACTCAAGAGGTGCCCTGATCCAAACAGCTAAATGTTTATTTTTTTATTTTATTTAACTTTTTTTACATTATAATTTTATTTTACAATAGTTAAACCGGTAAAGAAACCGTCTTTCGGTTTATGCTAACCGGCTTTGGTACCTTAAGACATATTACGTCTATAAAAGCTCTTTAAAATCTTCCTGCATCTATCCGGCCTATCTAACAGCATGTCGTGCGTATCACTCGTCTCAAAGGGAGATTCCGGGAATTCTGTTTAATAGAATTCCTACACAGAACTAAATACAGTTCTATAACATTATCCTCTTTGCTCGCAACAAAAGCTAAGCCATTTTCAAACTGGTTGACACAAAAGTTCTAAACCATAAGGTTAACATCAGAGTGCCGGTTCTATTAGAACTGTGTGCAATACTTTGCAGTTGTAACCAGAAACCAGGCTTAAGATATTTGAGGGTCAACCAGCCTCCTCCTGCCTTGCCAACGCTTTTCTCCCTTCATCTGCCTCGCCAGCACTTCTCTCCCAAACTAGCCAATTATTATAACATTATATGTCGTGAGAACAATTGTATCTAGTGCTAAGCTTACAGACATTTTATAAGCAAAGCTATAATAAGTATTAAAGTTTACTCGAAAGTATACATTAAAAGATCTTCACCCCCACTGTTTAATGGGCACATCCCTCCTGACCGTGGCGGTTACAAAGCATACCAGGCGTTTGTAGCACTCACTTGTAAATTAAGTGCATCGATAGACGACGCCAACCACGAGGATATCTCCTCCCTCTCCTTCTGCGCCGGATCCAGTTTCTGAGCTGCGCCGAGACCTTCTTTTGAGTATGCCTTTGTTTTCGTTTCTCGTTCTACTACTTTAAACCTTTCCATTTGCTGAAACATAAGCGATATACTGTAATTAAAGCTAGGGTTAGAGCAGGTTTATTTCTTTGTAGTTACTGTACTTTTTATACTGGCAAGCAGTTGATTAGATTTCTGTCAAAATAGGTGTGGCAATGTAGTGTAATGACAAAAAACATTCCTGAGTATAATATATATATATTTAAGTTTTATTAAGAGCCAATAAGAATTTAATCAAACAAATATTAATTCAGGTTTTTTATATTGATTTCTATAAATATATTATTGCGTGAATTAATTAAAAATTCTAGTAGTGCTTTACAAATATCATGATTCTTCAGCATCATCTATAACTCTTTATCTAAATTCTAGAAGTTAGGTTAGTTATCCTTATAAAAATCAAAAGTACATAATAATAATACAAAATAATAGCAGTGAAACAATAGCAATCTCTTGTACCCATTATGTGAATGCTTCTCCAGTCCATTTTTGTAATTTGTATTAGTATTTTATACTAAAAGTTAGTAGTCATTTACGCTAAAACTTGGTTATAGAACCAAGTTCTATAGCCAAGCCAATATCTATCCTAATATATAGATAACTGAGGATTACTTTTTCCATATTGATAGAAGCTAGCATATTGCATATATTATTCGGATGAATAAGCACAACTAATAGAACTTCAATTCACCAAAATGGGACAAAAATTGTGAAAATTTACGAAAAGAAGCTAGATAAACAGGACAGGGAGTTGTGTCTTAAATTAAAAATAAGTACCTAAGTATATCATATATTATGTTTAAAATCCCATGTATGTAATGGAGAAAGAGGCTTTTGTACTGAATTTTTTACAGGAACGATAAGCAGTATTTAAACTATATATTACTAATCAACAGGTTGTGGGTTTGATTCACAAGTGCAACATGTTCCTTAAATCAATTTATCTATAATATGCTGGATTTCAAATGGAAAATCTGGATGTTAAATACGGAGGATTAAAACTCCATCCAAGTCACATTGTACATAGATGGAAAATTTATAAAGTATCTGTGTTTTCATATTTTGTATGTTTCCAAATATCCAAAGCCATAAGTTGACAGCACATCTTTTTAAGATATTATATAGCTGTCTCTTTTCTTCTATCATAAAAAAATAACAACGATTATAAATCAGATGTACTTTTATCACAACGCAGCACAATAAACATGTTGATTTATGTATTCGTCCTCATTTGACATACTAAGACGTCTGGACGTATGGACTCTTCAATAGCTACTTTAAGATTCACATTTCGGGATTGACCTACTGGGAATAACTGTAATCTTATAGTGACTGTGTTGAAAAGTCAGGTTAATCATCTGCCCTGTACAATAAACTGGAGTCACAACAGAGCTACAAAAATTCTCAAGTTCTTTTTCATCTCATAATATAGATTAATAAGATCTACAACAGACTAGCAATATATACATACAAAGCCTTAAAAGTATCGTGAAGCAATAAACTCTCATACTTACAAAAATAAAACTACACTATACTTTTACTAACAATGCCAGGAAAAGATAAAAAAGGAAACAGATGATGTGTTAAGAAAGCAGCACAAAACATAACTTTTGTTTAAACCGGGCTTAATAACTCATTAGCACAAGCATATATAGTAATCAATAATGTCATGAGAGAAAAGATATTTGTACCAAACCCATTGATTTAGGGAACTATGAAGGTTCAGAAGTATTATATTCTAAAAGCGAGAAATAAATGTGAGAGATTCGATAAACATTCAGGGTAAAAATAATTTCTCTTAATCTTTGCTACTTTTGTCAGTCAAGATTAAAAGAGTAAGTCCAATATAGTTATAGATATAGGGTATAAGCATATATGCAAATTATGATGGTCGCCAAACATATATATGCAAATATTATTGCATTTAAGCTTACTATAAAAACAATAATGTTGAGGATAATCTTATCAGCATTACAATATGTAAATAAATGTAAACAAAACAAAAAACTCACTGTTTCTATAAGTTTCCTATATTCTAAAAGTGTACTCTTATCCTTAATTTCTCCCGAGGCGATCCATGATTTAATCTGATCCCGTAGCCTTTGGAGCTTTTTAATTTCTTTCTTGAGATCCGCCTCATATTTCTCCTTCTGATTACTGTTCGTTGCATTGTGAACTTTCTGCCAAATATCTTCGAACGTTTCTACCCCTTCAGTGACTTTTTTCAAACACCTGTCTATTTCACCTGGAAACAACATCACAATTAAGACATCAGCGACAACTCGACAGTATATAAAGAGAGACGTGACATTTTTTACGTAGTCATTCTATTCTTTACCACTTCATCACGTAATATAGATTGCTTGGGGAAAATTTTACGTACTCGAGCACGTAAGACAGAAGCAAAGGACTAAAGTGCTTATTGGTTTACATATTCTGTTAAACGCTTGTGATATTTTCGTGCTGTCAATCAGAGGCACAGCAGAGGTCCCATCGGACGGACAATAGAAGTCTAGAACACGTATCTACACAGGTTGGGGTCAATCTCTAACCTGATAACATAAGTTACCTTGCAGTTTCCTTGTCGCAGCCATAGCTATTTACACATGTGGACGAACGTTCCGTACATATCCTAAGCATACAAACTATTTACAGGGAAATGCACTAAAATTATTGATAAACAGACGAACTACACATCTGAAGCTTTGTTCCAATCCAAGATGGCTACCGTATACCGCTCCAAGTATCAATGACTGGACGCATCCAGGCTGATAATAACAGAACGGTTCTATTTCGCGACTGGAATTGTATTCAGAATAAATTTTTCATAAATAAATGTGGATATGTTGTCACCAAAACAACAAACTTCAAAATTTCTACAATATGATTTCTATTATAACGTCGCGTAAACCATCATTCCAATGCGCAGGTGCAAAACAATAGAGCAGCCATAGACAATAAAGTGAATAATGTCAAGTAAAGATATTAAACACAGATGACTTTTTTGTCGACGTTAACAATGTCAAAAATGCAACTAATGCTGTAAATGCAATATGGCTCGTAAAATATTTGATTTTATGCTAAAAAAGTTTAAGTTTCTTGTGTTTGGAGCAGGTAAATAGTTTAATTATACCTATTTACAATTAATGTGCTCGTGAATAATATCCTAAAGTAGCTCTTATATTTATGTTATTAGTCAATTGTCAACGTTGATATTTTTGACATTTAAGCAATTTCAGTATTTAATATATTTTATTTGGTATCTCTAAGTGATAGGTATATCTAGAAGTCGCAGTACACTAAGTTTTAATTTATTTTACGCCTGTGTATATGCGATATTGTATGAATTTTTTAATTCGTAATATCCTTCAGTTCCTGTTATATTATGACGATTACTAGTGTAGTTCGTAAATATAACATTCTAGATCCGTAGAATCGCAGTCGTGCTAGGTTTTGGGTGCGAGGTTGAATAATACAAATCAGATTTAAACTTTCCTACTTTTCTTTTGATTTGTTTTGTCTCTTTTGAAAACAGCAGTTATCATCCAAAGCAATAACATTCACCGAATGATCTCGTTAAAATAATGTCGCAATAAAAGTTTTATAACACCCTAAAAAGGAGTTATAGGTGATTCAAAAACAAATTTGGCATCAAACTATGTTTAATTGGTTTTGTTGAAAATGTAGTTTAAATACTAACAAATTTAATCGTTTCGCGCATTCATTGGTCTAGCAACAGCAATGTAGGTTAATAACTGACTGGTGTGGGTTCCACTTCAGGAAATAAATGTGTACATATCTTGAAATGATAAATGAAATGAAAATCTATCTCTTTATTGTATACCATGTCGTGCATAAGGAGAAAATTTCGCACTATTTATACCCTTTTATACATGTCCGAGGATTGGTCCAAGCCGTGGTTACAATCTAAAATAAAAAAAAAAATTGTGAATGGTTTTTAGGACATTTATGTTGTAAATTATTCCAAGTCCATAGAAGGACAGCAAATACTCTATTTAACACATTCAATATCGTGAGTGCATATTTAAGTGTCCATGACATACCATCATGTTCTTTTGAGCACATAATATCTTTATTTAGTACTAGCTGTGTCCGCGAGAATCGTTGAGGCATCCATTCGTTTTTGCAAACCCCTTCATGTTTATAAACTTAAGATGTTACCCACGACGTCAGTCGCGTACCTTTCTGTCGTTCTTGCAAGTTAATCTTAAAATATAGCGTCGCGGACTTTTTTAAATCATTTAAAGAGGTGTCATTCCATCATCAAATTTCAAATAAAACACTTTAACGGTTAAACGCGTAAAAACGCGTGAAAAATATATCGCGTTTTAAACCGTTAAAGTGTTTTATTTAAATGTGTACTACTCGCGTAAACTGTAGACAGTATTTAATATATCGCGTTTTAAATCGTTAAAGTATTTTAGTTAAATTGCATTAATTGTTCGATTAATTAATTTCAGCAACTACGAATCATAAGGATTTATTTTATAGTATCGGCTTAAAATAGATAGCTAAAGACATGCCATTATGCTATTTTTGTTCGAATTGTAGGTGTATAAAATACCTTGATAAAGATTAACATAATTATATTTATTGTCGGAATATTCCGTACTTATCGTTTATTTATTCCGTCATATAATCTTAAGATTAAATGTAAGTACTGTTAAAAGTGAAAATAGTTTAATTTGCTTAACTAATAACTTTCCATTAAGTACTAACTTTATTAATTACTTCATTTTGCGTTTCTCCAGGTTTCGAACGCAGAACCTCTCGCACTTAACCCCAATAGGCATTTAATCATTAAACTACAGAATAAAATAATCTCAGATGAACGATGTATATTAATTCCAAAAAATGAAATATCAGCGTTATTGTTTCAAATTTCCTATCTCGAAGAACAATTGTAAGCTGCCCGTTCAAAGACGATTTTATTTTGGAAAAAAAATACACTTAAAAAAACCGGATTTTCAACATTTTTTTTTTAAATTCCTGAATATAATAAAAATCGATGTTTTTGTTTCAAATTAATCGCCATGAACGTCACAAAACCTAAAAAGGTGGGTGTACATTACCTTCTTTACCTTTTCCCCAAATTTATTTAGAGTACATGGCTGCGGTGTTACAACCTTCCAAACAAATCCCTTTAAACTCAGAGGGCAATAATAAAATCGTTATTTTTAAACCTTAACTGACTTAGTAATCTAACACTCTGTTTGTCACATAATTGAGAATCAATGTTAATGGGAGTTGTTCAGGACAGAGATTAATTGCTAGCCTGACGTAGGCAACTGCAAACAATTATTTTATGACACCATTTGATAACCTTACACAAACATAATTCAGCGTTTATGTACTGTAAATCCGAGATAGCTTAGATAATCTTTAATATTAACAATTTGTTACCAATAGGCCTCTAGATATATGTATTTAAGAACACATTTAACGGTTGAAAAGGGGAAGTATTAGATAATTTAATTCATAACCGGCCTACCTAAACTTTTCAGTTGCAAAGGTACAGCAGCAGAATGAATGAATTAATATAGCCTAAATAATAATTATTTTAACTTCATGTCAAAGTCATGGGAGATTAAAGACAGAGGTTCAAAGGTCATGAAAGTATTGATTTAGTGAAAATTTTGTTTGTAAAAATGAAACTTCTGATATTATTAGTTTTAGTTTAGAATAAAACATGTTATAGACTGCAATAAAAATTTTACATAACCGCATTGTCATGCTTGGAAGTAGATTTTTAATCGAGCATTTAAATTCACCCATCAACCATTTACTTTTATTGTATGTGTACTATGAAAAATAAAATTATGAAGCAATAGTAACATATTGTTGTAATGAATTCTTATTACAATATTTTTAATACAAATGACTTAATGATTAATTAGTTTTTAAGAAAAAGTTTCGACACTACACATCGTGTTCAACAACATATTGTCACATTGTGGTTTTAGCAGCTTCATTGGAGATGGAAAAAGTACGTTCTTGAGGATCGAAATTTCAAGATAGTTTCAGCCTCCTTAAAATGAGAACGTGGACGTCCATTGGATTTTCCACATTGACAATAGTAATACAATTATGTAAAGTAATCGCTGAGAAAATCATTTTTTATCACCACGTTTCACTAATTTATCAGCGGTATAACTAATACAAAAACAAAACAATAAAACAGTAAATTATAAATATCAATATCATATCTAAGTCCTTTATTTTAGCAATAATTGGCAAAGATTTCGAATTCGTTGACGCACATATTTTTATAAGGAAGATAATTTTAAATCCGCAATAAAATTAAGTTATTATACAAAGGAAATGTCAGTTACTACACATATCGTCTTCCTCGTGCAGTGAACTCGTACACTGATAAAAGATCTTTTCAATCTGTATAAAAGATTAAATACAAAGAGATTGTTGTAACTGCCACAATCTTAAAACATTTACAATGGTAACGGTTATTCTTTAGTAATTTTTGTGATAAAATTCTTAAATTACAGTACAAGTACATAAACCTCTCAATGTCTAAAAAAGTGTCATTCACTTTATTATTAGCAGATGGCGCCACCTAGACAACATTGTACTTTATGTCATACTTTACGTAAATAAATAAACATATTAAAATAGCGTTAATTGCTTATATTCGTTTCTATATGTATTTAACTTGATTTTAGTAACTTGGAGTGAAGAAAAAAAATATTTTCACATTTATTTTTTTAACCTTAACTGAACCAATTCTTTTTTTCAGTATTTTGCAGACTTTTTGGTAGATTCCAGACTCTTTTTAATATAAATTAACAATCTTTAGCCACAAAGGGAATATTTTGTTTCCCAAAATGTTATTTTTATTTCAACCACGGAAAATTTAAAAGCTTTCCAACGCCGGTGTATTTTGGCTGAAATCCAATGTTTATTGAAAACTGAGATTGTGTATTCAATTATTAAGAGTGGTACATAAACGCCTTTTATAAGCCATAAATATTATCTAAACTAGATTATGATCCGCAATAATGAGTCAGCATTGCTGATTAGCGGCAATAAAACTGTTTTATTGACCAAATCTATTGAATATACTAATATCTCTCGTATAAAACTAGTTCCATGCCGTAAATATCTACTTAACGGGTGAATAAGTTTCTTTGATTAAATAAAACAATTTTTTAACGGTTTAAACTTTAACTAGCTGTGGTCACGGCTGTGGCAGACTCCGAAAGGTCGAGCCAAAGTTATAGTAAATTGCTAATAAGTTATCATTTCGCGTTTTAAACCTTTAAAAATGTTTTATTTAAATGTGAACTACTTGCGTAACTATTCTTTGTAATTAAGTTGAAATGTGTTTGTTATAATAAATAAATGTGAGAGTAATATCACACATGTGTGTGAATATTGATTGGGATATGAGAATACGATTTTTTAACATGCTCTCTCTCAAAATCTCCGAAAGCTAGTTTTAGATTTTTTACAAATTCTGTATTTCTGTTGCCGCTACAGCAAGAAATAAGAACGAAATAAAAGAAACAGTACCTACAGAACAAAATGGCGCGATGATTTGTTGATATTAGTTTTAATAACACACAGGTTGTATTGTTGTTTGCCGCATCAATATTGTCATGTTTATACAACTCTAACCAATATTTGGTAATAATGTATTATTTTCGACTAAGTTTGGTTACAATAAAGACGGTACTTGTATTGTATTAATAATTAATATTATTGAAATAAAACTATATATACTAACATATAAAGCTGCAGAGTTTGTTTGTTTATTTGTATGTTTGAACGCGCTAATTTCAGGATCTACTGGTTCGAAATGAAGAAATATTTTTGGTGATAAATCATCCCGCTGTCACTAATAGGAGTGAAGAAACAGCTGGAAATGTGGAAAACGGGGGAAAATATTCATCCTTGTGGGATTCCATTGGAAGGGATAATTTCTCTTACATATCTATACGTCTATCTATTAAGGTTTACTTGCAAGAACGACGGGACACGATCGACGTCGTGGGTGAAACCATATAACGAGGAGGAGTAGACTTGCAAAAACTAATTTGGATGCCCAAAATAACTCCGCGAAGTCGCTGACACAGCTAGGTGCTCTATAATATTGCAGAGATGAAGAGGTCAATGTAAGCTATAGGCGTTAAAGACTTACGTGAGAAAACATTTTATATGAAATATTTTTTACTATTTCATAATAAATCGCAATGTCAGATACAGATCTACTTACAGCCACAAAATGTTCCAAAAAGCATTTATAGCTAAAGTGTAGCTAAAGTGATAATTTATCGCTTAAACAGTTCTCACCTTGCTTTAAGCATAGCATAATAAAATAAGGGTTACCTTCTACCATGTCAATAAAGCAGCATTTCGTCAGTTAGGTTATAATAGTAATGTAATAATTTTTCAATTATCGGTAGCTTTCTCCAAAGTGAGATTTGATTTTCTATAATTATCATAACTTATTCAAACAGCACTGTACAAATAACTTTAAAATATTAAGTGAAAGTGTACAAATGAGACGAAGCGATTTCACAATTCAGTAGCACACTGATAATACGAATTTGTAAAAAAGGATATCGTGTATTAAAATAAAAATGCTAGCGTAAATATATGCAGACCATATAAAAGTTGAATTATATCTTTCAGGATATGAAAAAAGAACACGATTTTCTTCAGTCCTTCTCCAACCTCCGTCACGTATGGACGTGTGATAATTTATCAGATACCGTAAGACGTATCGTAAAACGATTTACGTTATTAGTGTCACAAAAAAATTGTTTATTCAATTTACGTACTAGGCATCATGGATTAAAATATGTTCATTGAATAAATAAGTTAGTGTTATGTGATAAAAATGAATTTTAATTTAGGACAATGTGATTTGCGTGGTATTAATATTAATATACGTTTAAGAAAAATGTTTTCGTGTTGGAAACATGTTTTGGTGTTGTGTCTCTATATTTTGGGTAAGCTATTTATTAAATACGACGTTTTAACGAATTTAAACGCGAAATAATTGTTTAAATTATCGGGTAACTACTACGCAACGTTCCGGCTGCATTGTACCTGCATAATTGTTTAAATATGTACTACTCGCGTAAACTGTACTCAGTACTTATTCGTTGATATCTTCAATTCAATTTAATTGTGATTTTCGTTCTAAAAAGCTACTGAAAAATGTTAATGGTTCTCTACCTACCTGCTGTTTTAAATAGCCTGAAATTAAGGAAATAAGGAATATCGAAGTCGTTTCTTACTATATTTTTTCCTTTGTGACTATTTTTAATTTAAAAAATGTTTATAACGGATTAAAACGTGAAATATATTGCTATCTTATTTTCATCCCAAGTTTCGCATGCTTTGAAGCAGCTCTTGTCTTGACAAAAGTTTACGGTTTTTGAACCCGTTCAAAATGATTTATTTAAGTGTGTACTACTTTCGTAAATGATGTACATACCATTCTTCATTCCTATTCACGGTACTTATTATAGAACTTTGTTTGTTTGTTGTTTATTGGTAATTAACTTAGCGAACTCTCAAAATTAATTATAGTAAGTACGAATCACAATTATTAATATAAACAGGAAAAAATTCAACGACTGACTTATGCATTTTTTATTGATACGTTTAACACGCTAATATAATTAATTACCATAAAATATATTTTGAATAAATAATTGCTATGTTTATTGACGTCGCGCTCTAGGAAGTGCTTATTGTAATGGATAAAATAGATACAAAAACTAGAATTTATCTTCTATAATCTAGGTATTATTAGGTATTGATGATGTAATGGGAATCAAAGAATATTATAAATATTTGTGTTGATTTTATGTTTATATCTATGTTAAGTGACAAATTTAACAGCTTTATAAGACGCAAGAACTGCTGTTTATGTGAGCAATAGAGTTTAATAACGGACATACTATATTATCACAAGAGGTGAAATATTTAAGAAAGCATTAATGTATTGCGTTTCAGCGGTATTCGAAACTGTAACCAAACCCAATAGTAAAAACTAATCTTATTTTGAGGCATACACAACAAATTAAGATAAAGAATATAGAATGAATTTATTTTTCTTTTTTTACGATACATTTTTAAAATAACATTAAACAAAGTTACGCCTACTGCTTGTAGTTTACGCGAGTAGTACAATAAAATAAAACACTTAAGCGGTTCAAAACGCAATATTAGTCACCTCGCAACCACGGCTGCTACAAAGCATCCGAAACGTCGGGTCGTAGTTTAAATAATTTTCAATTAAGTTGAACTAATATATTTTTAAATACACGGTTAGACCTGTAAAGATATTGACATTTAACTTGGATCCCTTAAGTAAGCAGCAAGTACAACGCTTTTATCAAAAGTGTGTCTGTTTGTTTTTCGTGTTGAAAACACAGCGTGACTGACAGATTATGCCGCCGTCTATAACTAGCTGATAACGAACAAAGTTACCGCGACCGAACAAACATACTTTAACACGCTTTAGAGGATTTTATATAGCGATTTTTACGTAATACGAATGCCAACAAAACAGTACAGACTCTCAAGCTGGGAGTGTTTCGGGACTTGGGAACAACCAAGCAAAAAAACCCGGGGAACCGAATTTGGGTTGGTGAGATGTTCACTTGACGGAAGGAAATATACTCCACCCATACAACAATCGAAATACGCTGTCGACCTCTATGGCTATTGATATTCGGAAATGCATAGGCCGAAACCGAAACGCAATTAAAAGGCTTTTTCATCTGTGGATGGTGATTCGTGATCCGGACGGAAGTTCGATAATCTTACCATTATTTCAAATTTCCAGAGGAAGTCCAACACGTTGCATAAGAACTATGAATTAAAATAAAACACTTTAACGGTTTACGCAATATATTAGTTAAACTTATTTGGAAATGACTTTTTAACTTCGGCCCGACGTTTCGGATGCTTTGCAGCAGCCGTGGTCTCCCCGTGGTACTCCCTCTCCGCCGTTAAGGTGTTTTATTTAAATGTGTACTACTCGCGTAAACTGTAGACAGTATTTAACTATGAATTAATTAGAAACATGTCGGAACCGGAGGAGATCGAATCCACGACCCTTCGATTATTATTGGCCATACATTGAATTAGATCAACGACCCCACCGAAGCCGTTCAACCTCTATCTTAAATCTACCAGTTTTCTATCTGTGCCTCTTAAGGGCCCTAGTCTCTTCCACTCATTTCTTTCATCGGTACCCAACTGTTGGACACGAGACTTTTTGTATCCGTATCAATGATCTACTGGCATTTACCGATGAGTAGTTAATTATATGCCCTGCCTGACCGAAAATTAGGCAAACAGTAATTCATTATTTCTTAATAAATATTCAGGTTAAAGTTGAACGACCGAAATTAACATAAATTTCTCGCATACAAAATGAGAATAGATGTATTTAGATTAAATACTAAAATGTCTATTTACGACTCTCATTAGTACGGTACGGATGATTAATATGTCATATTTAAAATATAAACAAGCTTGGTCCATTGGTAGCAATAGCAATGCCTCATAATAACAATCGGGTCGTTGGTTCGAGTTCCACCGAGTCCAATATGGTTTTAAATTTAATTTTAAAATTCTTTAATTATGGTTGAACATGTTTTAAATATAATTTAAAAATCGAAAATAATTGAAAAAAATTTCGACTCGGACAGGACTTGAACCGGCATCGTCAGCTTTCCGTGCTGTTGCTCTACCAATTGAGCTACCGAGTCCTACACCTCATCGTCGAATTTTTTCAACTTATTGATACATGCACCTCTCGCGCAGTGTAATTTCAACCTTAACACTTGCGTACTAAGGTACTAAAAAAATGTTTTTCAATTTATTTTCGATTTTTAAATTATATAGTGCCTTCATCTGCAATAACATGTGAAAAATATTAATGTTTTCAAATGTTTTGAAAATATGTATATTTAACGGTTGGTATAAATACAGGAATTCCGCCCATGGCTATAAGGCGTGAAGCTTAATCGCGTTTCGATTTCAGTCGGTGGATTTCCGAATATCCATAGTCAATCGAGGTTGACAAGGAGTTCTTCCATCAAGTGATGAATTTACACATAAGTTGTAGTTTAAATAAAACACTTTAACGGTTTAAAACGCGATATATAGTTAAACTTATTTAATTTAAAAATGATTTTTAACTTCGGCCCGACGTTTCGGGTGCAGCAGCCGTGGTCACGGGGAGACAATAAGTTTAACTAATATAATATCGCGTTTTAAACCGTTAAAGTTTGTTATTTAAATGTGTACTACTCGCGTAAACTATAGACAGTATAGTTGTAGTTTTCAAAACCTAAGGCCGACACACGCTTGACCAATTTGTGGAACATACAGTAGTACGTTTGATATGTTCAGTGCGATGAACCAATATTGATGATCATGAAAACAATAGGCGGCAAATTGGTTGATATAAAAAGAAATAAATAAGCACCGAGTCCAATCCCAACAATATTATCGACGTAACAGTTCGTAGGTACCGTATGTTCGCTTCAATACCGTGCTGAAATGGCTGAACCGATTTTGATTCAATTTGGTGTTAATCGAATTATGCTTAGCTTTTTTATGATAGAGGAAGACAGACAAGTATGACGTTTACTTGATGTAAGGTCAAATACCCCAGCCATATAGCATCTCAACAAGATGCGCTGTCGTCCTATTTAGGCTTTGGATAATGGACTATCCACAGACTGAAATCGGAGATCGATCTATAGCGATAATTACGATGCACCATACTTTTAAAAACTCTTATTTCTTAAATAAGGATATGTTTTTCGAAATTGTGTGAGGCAATATTTAAAGCTAACACAGGTCATTAGCCTATATTGTTTAGATGTTATATAGCTATCCTCTCGTGTCATAAAAAGAAACAAAGTAAATAAAATCCCTTAACGGTTTAAAACGCGATATATATTAGTTAAACTTATTTGAAAATGATTCTTATATATATCGCGTTTTAAACCGTAAAAAGTATTTTATTTAAATGTGTACTACTCGCGGAAACTACAGACAGTATTCAAAGTGTACCTATTAACTTCTTCCATGCAGACGAAGTCGCGGAAAGAGAAAGAAGTAGGTGATGTAGGAACAATATAGACGCCCCACGTTTATTAGTTCTCATTAAGTACTGGAAACGTGCCAGTTCGTTTGAAGCTCAGACCCAGATGTCACGCAAATGCACCTCGTCACGTTAAACTGGGTCATGTATACAAACAATAAATAAATAATTGACAATCGTTGAATTGGACTGAATTAGTACGTTTTATTAGCACAAATAGATTTTAAATCTGTCTATATACATTACTAGCAGCCCTGTCCCGGCTTCGCACGGGTAGATATAAATAAGTACTAATATTTAAATTATAAACATGCTAATTAAAACGACCATGAATCACTTAATTAGAAAAAAATTGTATTGCGCGTCCTCTCTGTTAATGACCGTGGTCCATCTCGCTGGTTCAGGAGCCGCTGCGACCGTTCAGTGTTAGTGTCCCGTGCACGCGTTCGCGAGTCCCTAGCTCTATTTCCTTCAAGTCCCTGCGATGATCTTGCATTTTGTTCTGCAAGATGAACCTGAACGTTCGACGATAGAATCTCTGGCTCGCGATTGGGACGCGTACACTCTAATACTTTCCAGGCGATCATTTTAGGAAGAAAGAAAATATTCAAGTTAAAAGCAATACTTCTGAAAAGAATCTTGACAAAAATTATGCAAAGTGCGATTCCTAATACTAAAACCAAGTAGCTTTGAAAAGAACTTTTTAAGTGAAGCATAAAAATGTTAAAAAATAATCGAAATATTCAATGTCGTTCGAGCCCACTGCGTAAGGAGCCCACTGCCCATCTATCGTCGAATTTGCATGTATTTTTATTTTAATTTCATGATATCTTTTGAATGGAATGTCCGATTTCAATAATTAAAAAAGTAATC